TAAATTCGTTTTTTTAAAAAAAAGATTTGTATTTGGTCTTTTTTATACATGTTATATGGCATTCACGGTAACCACTTGCCACTGAATTTAAATGTGTTTTTACTTTGGTGGTTCTTTTATTGCCTTTAGGCTTGCTATGCCAAATGTAATCAACACAGAAAAAAATGGTCCCATTATTCCGTGCATACGGTAAGGGTTGTAGGTTCTGCTGATGGGACAAAGGCTATTGTTTAGTCGGGAAATGCTGTCTGTAGGATTAAATGATGTGAATTAACTGAATGAAATAATATTTATAGAAGTTAACCGTTACATCACACTGCTGCTCATATGCACACATACCCCAGGGATGCTATTACAATTCCTCAGTCTAGCTGAAAGAAGCACACATGGTGTTCTGCACAGAAAGTATTCCTCTGAATGCCTGGCTCTTAACCCAGCCATTTGTTTTCTTTTATATTTTGCATGTGCATTCATTTAATGCCCTTTCCCTTTCCTGCATCGATCAGCTTGCACTAACAGCTAGCAGCTCCTTAGAGGGTTACTGGAAAGGAGATGCTCATGTGTTCGGCCATTTTAGACCCTGCTTGTCCTAGTCCCCATCTGGTACTCAGAGACCTCCTAACAACCTAATTACTGAGGGGTATCGTTGCTTCCCTAGCTGGATTATAGACCCCATGTCGAACGCTGGATTACAAAATGTCTGCCGGCTACAACCAGCTGAGTGATGTTCTTTAGTTAACTGGTGCCCCAACCCGCCTTGAAATAGAAAGCTCCCGTGGAGTGCCAGCATCATGTCAGTGCTATATTCTGCGGAACAGGAACTGAAAATGCAAAGCAGTGGCATTTTGGATACTGTTATACCACCCAGCAGCTCGTGTCTGTTCACTGCACATGGGGTTGTGACTGAATGTCTGAACTTTAGAGATACAGAGATTCTCCTACATTGTCGTTGCCAAGCTGATTTGCATGTCATCCTTTTGTGCAATGGATGTTTAGTTTATGTGATGGCCTCATGATGACAGGGTAGTGATACAACAATCCTTTATGTTGCTCTTTTACTGATAGTGTAGAATTCATGCTTGCAGACCTTGTCTTAGTGTTACCTGGTATGCAGCAAATCAATGCTGTGTCACCAATAGTAATACTTTTTTTTAATGATAAAATATTTGTCTTTTTTTCTTCACTACAATGTTTTAAATATTCAATTTTTGAAGTCTTCAAAAGGTTTTATTGCACTAAAAATTGTTTCTGGTATTGCTTAGGGCGTCTGGTATGATCATCTTATTACTTGAGTAACAGATCACTTTTGCATATTTTCGGGTTTTTAAAGAATTAGAAAATCAGATTTATAAATAGTTGTCATCAACATTTACAGTGCGTTTTTAAAAGTGCATTTTAATAATTCTATGTAGTATCTACAGAGTCATAATAGAGGATGCTCAAGGCGAGAGCGCACTGTGCTGCATCCTCCCCTTCTGTGCCAAGTTGCGGTTGTTATGGCAACCAGATTATGGTCCTATACCTGTTGCCATGGTTGAGAAAGACGGAGTGATGACGTTCAATAGGCATCAGAGTGAGTCTGCCATTTTAAGTCCGGTATGTGGTGGGAATATATACTATTTGGAACACAGAGGTATTCTTCATTGACATGTTAACGTGTGACTATTATACTATCTATGCATCAGTGCTCACATACATTCTGCTTTAAGTGTGATGTGCAGGAGTGTAAAGGGAGCAAAGTGACTGATATATATTCGAGATAAATTAGGTGAATCATGCTGGAAGATATTGATAGAGATGAGATAGACTTTTAATGTCCCCATAGGGTAATCTTTTCTGGATTCGGTCCTGCTATTCAACAGTAGATGCAATCTTCAATAAAACTAGAGTCCATGTAACTCTTTAGTTTTCACATACATACCTGTAGGAGGAATCCTGTTGGCTGCACTTAAATTCACCTCATTCTTCCTCGGTCCACACCATTTTCTTAATTGGAGTAAGTTTTCATGCAAAATGTGCAAAATAAATGAGTTTTTAGACTCTCAAAGAGATTTTCTGCTGCTATAACTGTTTAGTTTTGGGGTTTTACGCAGCGTCCACACGGCGACGTGCGTTGAAGCTTGCCGGTGGGCGTGTCTGAAACTCGACCAACAACCAATCACATGAATCTCCCGCCCCGGACACACAAGCACGCGGTTTGATTGGCTAGAGCTTGTACTGGCATATGATTTGATTGGCTGACGCTTCCGTCGAAGCTTCAAAAGTTGAACTTTTCTCAACTTTTGAAGCGAGCAAAGCGAAGGAACCACAATGCAGTTCGGCAAAGCGTGACGTCACCCCATTCAAAGTGAATGGGAAGAAGCGTTGACGCTTCAACGCACGCCGCCGTGTGGACGGGCCGCTAGGCTTTGGACTTGCAAAACAAGACCTTTTAAAAGAATCACCTTTGACTGAAACTGCGATGAAATTCTTTGAACTATTCTCTGATATTATCTAGAACAACATATGAATCTAGAAAACAGTTGCCTGATTAACTGAAAGTAAAAAATAATTGTTAGTTGCAACTTGCAGCGCTACTGCACACATGGACCTTTGCTAGCCACATCCCTTACTGCATCCTTTCTTTTTAATACACATTTCTAGCATCTTACATGAGAGACACACTCTAATGACGCACTGACAGGACCACTTGGGTGAGGCATCTATCTGTTCTGAGAGCAATGGAGTGGGCAATTGAAGTAGATATTCATGCCACATCGTAAGCATTATTCACCTAGACGAGTAGTCTCCCACTAGCTGCGATCATGTAGCTTAACTGTGCGTTTAGGTACATTCTTAAACCACTACATCCACCAAGTTCTCTGATGAGAGACTATGTCTGAACCAGGGAACAAAGCTTTCATTTATTTTTTTTGCTTTGTTATTTCTTTTAAACAGCGGATTCCCAGTAAAGCCAGTTACTCAATGTCAGTCCACTGGCCTGTCATTGGCATCCCACTGTCTTTTTTCCCACACGGCACTCACCATCTTTCTGTTTTTACTGCTAAGTTTCCTCCTTAACAGTGAATTTGACTGACACTGAATGACTCCAAACTAGATGACCTCTTCTTTAATAGCCAATGTAGAATAGATTGTTCCAGGAAAGTAAAAGTGGCGCACTGGTAACTTAAATCCTGCCTTCGTTACTTCATTCCCTGGTTCCAATTTCACATTTGGAGGCCAGTCAAAGGTGAAAATGGGCTTTATATAGCCACCTGTCTTGCTGTATCCTCTTCCAGTGCCCAATATGGCCGCTGTGGCCCCACACCTTAACCTGTGTGAAGATTGTAGGGGGTACAAAGTCATTCATTGTTTTTACCTGTGCTAGGTTGTAGCTACCCTATTTTAGGGCAATGGCTTCTCTACAATCATCACATATTTAGCATGAAGCAGTTAGTGTTCTGGTTTCTGAGGACACGCTGTGCTTTTTCTAACAGCATGTGACCTGTGGAGGGTGATATGCAACCCCTGTCTCTCCACATCTCCTGCATTATTGATAAGTTAGCTGAAATCCTCTGAACACATAAGGCACTCAGCCTAGGACATCTTGATGCTAAAGCCTCTCAAGCACACTCATATCGAGGAGCCAGACCTGGCTTTTATTTGCCCATTAGCAAAGAACTGCATTTGCATTAAACAAAGACAATTACTCCATTCTGGCCCACATTGGAGGGTTGGTTGACAATAGACAAAATGCACTATAAATGCATAGTTTCAATCGTCTTTTCTTTTTACAAACTCTGGTTTCTATTGTTGCTCTGTTTGGAGTGTTGCTAGGCCCTCGAGCACACCCATCAGACCCAAATACATATTTTTTTACTATCCTCTATATTACTCCTTTCTGTTCACCTCCCCCCTCTTTACTGTAGCTGGAGGTATGCATGTGTCTGTACAGCCTGAATGAACTCTCTGCCCTGGCCCTTTGATGCAAGGCAGCTACAGTCAATACAAGCATTTTGAAAAACTTTGGTATGGGTATCTTAAAATATCCTTCAGTAATTGCCTTAATCCCCTCCTGTACATATTCAGTGCAGAGTGTATCAGGTTTGAACACTACTCCCAGGGGTAACAGCAAGCGAGGTTGAGAGGGATGACATGCCAGGCATGGCTGTAGATTCTTGTTCATTAAGAAATGTGTGTGTGGCCATAGGGACCAGCTGGGGGTAGTGCAGACATTCAGTGTCAGTCATCATGCCTTTAGCAGATAGAACAGCTGATGGTGGTATAATGACACTAGGCTACATGTTTTTATTCTTTAAACTATGCATTTGTCTTCACACACTGGTTAAAGATGGCGTGTTTGGAAAGGTTGACACAACAGTTGCAGTTCTCAAAAAGGCCAGTGGCTCATGACTTTCTGTGTAGAATATATAATGGTTAGTGATGTGAACATCTGATCTGAACAGTATCTTTGAAGACCCACTATTTGCCAACCAGGATAACAATAAATACTATTTAATCAAGGTCCATTTAAACTGAAATGTAATTTTTTTGTTTTTTTAATTAACAGAATAAATACCCTAATAATCAATTTAAATGAGCAATGGGAGTTTGATTAGATGTTTGAATTTTAAGTTGACTCAACTATTCCAAGGGTGAGACAAAGCGAGTTTGCTGGCAATAGCAACTGAATGTTCCAGAACAACACAACAAAATAAATAAAAACTGTGCAGTCAATCACAAGGCCAGGTACCTCGTGTTTCAAAGACTATTTGGTTGAACTGTCCCTGCCATATTTCAAATGAAAACATTACTACACGGAAGCAACTTTTGTTAAATACTATATCGTTGTCGAAGGGATTGCATCAAAATCCTAATTGAGTAATTCAAACGTGACATGTGATATATAAATTAACTTCATTAGAACTTAAGATAAGCACATGGGATTAGTTGTTTTTTCCATATTGACATTAAAACCAGATGTTATGGACCACCTTACTAATTGTGTTCTCCCCCCACAGCTATTCTCAACCCCAAACAGCCAAAGGAACCGGCAAAGACCTTCAGTTTTGATTACTCATACTGGTCGCACACTACGGTAAGTTTTCTTTGTTCCTTAGTCCAGACAAATAAACAACAACAACAAGAAAAAAGAAAAACAAACCTTATTGATATGTTGTCAGTTTGGAACACAACATATTGCGTATTGAAATTCTATACATTTAAGCCCTTTATCCGTCTTTCCCACAGCCGGAAGACCCCAGCTTTGCATCACAGAACCGTGTGTTCAATGATATTGGCAAAGAAATGCTGGCCCACGCGTTTGAGGGCTACAACGTCTGCATCTTCGCTTATGGCCAGACAGGATCGGGCAAATCCTACACCATGATGGGCCGGCAGGACGAGGGGCAGGAAGGAATCATTCCCATGGTTTGTTCTACAATACATCATACAATACATAGCAGATATTAAGAGACTTTGCGCACTGTGTTTTACTTCTCATTAACCTCTCCTTGATCACGGAATAGTGTAACACAACCTCTAAATCTAGTTTTTGGTCACTTTTTGTAATTTTACCGTTACTTCCTGTCAAAATGTTAAACCAAATTGATCCACCTCCGAAATGTTTCTGCAGCTTCACCTTTACATTTCTTGTAAAGACATAGCTCTTTGTCTCTGCACTGTTTTTCGCTGCTAGCCGCCAGCTCAGCTACCACCATATTTAGAGCCGTGTGCAGTGCTTTGCTCTGTATTTAGCATTGGAACCCTTTCAGTGTTTTATCTGCTGAGGCTCTCTATATGGGATTGTGTGATGTTTAATTGCTAAATGATCTGCTATAAATCCAAATAAGTTGTTTGTTTGTATCTGTTGGTGTACTGATCTCTCCTTCCTTTCACCTCCCCACATCCTGTTAATTTGCACTAAAGATCTTCTTTCTCTGCCCCTCAGCTTTGTGAAGATCTATTCTTTAAAATCAATGATGAGGACAACAAAGAGGAGCTCGCCTACTCAGTAGAGGTGAGCCTCGGACTGCTTTGACATCTGTGATCCGTGCTTTTAGCCCCGCCTCATTCCTAGCCTTCTCATAACAATATATCGGGTTGAAGTCAGACATTAATCACATATTGAAAAACGCCGGGTTACCTCGGCACATTCCTTCAGATCATCAGTTTTTATTCAAACTGGAAAACAATTGAAGGTTGTAAGTCTCAAAAAAGTAACTAATTCTGATGTAGAATAATTATAATCAAAGAAATCAATTACTGTGAGGCCGGCACGAACATAGATATATTTTTTACTGCAGTATAATAGATTATATTGAGCTTCATATTACTGCTTTATGTCATTTCAGTGGCACATGAACTCATAATCTGTTACTTTTGCAATATTGTATAGGTCAGTTACATGGAGATCTACTGTGAGCGGGTGCGAGATTTGCTTAACCCCAAGAACAAGGGGAATTTACGAGTGCGAGAGCACCCTTTACTGGGTCCCTATGTGGAGGACCTCTCCAAGCTAGCTGTCACCTCCTACACAGACATCGCTGACCTCATGGATGCAGGCAACAAGGCCAGGTGAGCCCCGGGATCATGCTATCATCATGGGAAGAAGGGGGGGGGGGGTTATAGTGGTGAAGAGGTGATTACCTACATGCTCAGAAGGATGAGTTTAATAAGGTGGACATTTTTTGGCAAGATAACAACATTTAAAAGCAGGAAATGAATCACATAGATTTTTATAGTGTCAGTGTTGATCAAAGAACAGCTAGTTATATTTGGGAGTATAGCTTGACCTGGATGGCTGAGATTCTACATAGAGCTAGTGAGTGTTTCTCATTTAAATGAGTGCATGTGATGTTTTAGTGTGTGTTACGAGAGCTCCTGTGGGGAGGAGTGAACTCTCCCTTAATCTTCCTGTGCTGACTCAGGCAGCTTATTTCTGGAACATGGCATGAAAAGCCTGTATCTCCCCTGTGCCTGTCCCTCTCAATGCGCCTTGTGAATTTCAGTTTGGTGTCCATATAGTATTATCCACCTCCGCCATACAAAGTAATCCCTAGGACTCAATTCCCCCTAATATGCGTAAAACCCTGTAATGATAGCTCTATTAATAAAGCTATCAAGTCCATGAATTTAGCATTATTATCATTGAATAATTCCTACTTAAATGCTCAGAAAAATGTGTTGCACCCATTATTTCCTAACTATGGCCTGTGTGCTAACCTACAGAACCGTGGCTGCCACCAACATGAATGAGACCAGCAGCCGGTCCCACGCTGTTTTCACCATCGTCTTCACACAGAAGAAACACGACAGCAAATCAGATCTCTCCACAGAGAAGGTCAGAAGAGACTGGAACGACATTTTCTGATTTAAAATAATATCATTAACTGTTGTCGCTTTACCATGTTTGTAAACTATAACTGACTTTTATCCTGTGCTGTTGGGAGTGCATTCCTTTAGAACGTTTTTTTACCTGCAGCCCTGTTATTTGGTTTGATTTAGTCTAAGATGTCTCCTATGGTCCTCTTGATCGCCATTTTAGATTTGACTCCTGGCATTTCCTCTGACTGCAGCAGAGACAAAGACCAGTGTGTTATTGTTAACACAATGCCCATTGTGTTTAGCCACTCCATCAGATTTAACTTCCTTGCTGCATCTCACGTAACAGTTATGTCTAAATGTTTAGAATAGTATATACTTTAGTTTCCTTTTTCTTTTTACTATTTGAACCTTTTTTGAACATATATACACTTTGTAATTGGAAGTCAGTCCTTTCAGTTTTTGATATAATATTCTCATCCTCTCACACTTAGTCATAATTCCAATGTCAATTATTCATGAGCTTGATTCATCTAAAATGTATCTACTTCCTTTTCAGGTCAGTAAAATCAGTCTGGTAGACTTGGCAGGAAGTGAACGAGCAGATTCCACTGGAGCTACAGGTACCAGGCTAAAGGTAAGACTCCCATCATCAGAAAACATTTAGCAAACTGTTGGCTAGTATTTCACTGATGGTTGTTAAATCATATTTTTAAATCTGTGATTGCAGGAGGGAGCCAACATCAACAAATCCCTCACCACGTTAGGAAAGGTTATCTCCGCCCTGGCTGAAGTGGTGAGTGTTGTATGCCTGTTTCTGTTCATTTCTGTCTTTTCTTACCTTTTTCCTACTTTCAGCCTTCCCTCTACAACTCGACCCTGTCTTCTTAAGGACTTAATGTACGAGCCTGGCATGCTGTAATGTCTGCCCTTCTGTTTTCTCTCCTCCTGCCCTTGTAATGCTTGCTCACAAAGGATCACTCTACCAGCAAGGTAAACCGTTCGACAGCTTAACCAGTAACCTCTGAATCCTCCCAATGAGGCAGATTTGACAGCCTTGTGCAATGTGCAATGCTGAAGTTGCGGCACAGTGTTCTGTCAAAACCATTTTATTAAGTGTTTTAGGAAGTGCTTTTCTTTAAGGCGCATCGCAGTGATAAATCCACAAGCCTTTCTTTCACCAGAGCAAAAGTTAATCAAATCAGGCATCTACTCATTTTACCCAACCTCTTTTCCATCACATATGAGATGTTTATTATGTTGCAACATAATAGTGTTCAGTCTTAACTGCCGTCCATCATTTTCGTCGTAAGTCTTACATAAGTTATACGTTTTCTTTCTGCCTACCAACTTAATATTTGTTCACTGCAGAGCAAGAAGAAGAAGAAGACTGACTTCATCCCGTACAGAGACTCTGTTTTGACATGGCTGCTGAGGGAGAACCTTGGTATGCATATTAATATCACCTAATAACATCCTTTACAAATGGAGTATGATGGAGTTTGTAAACTGTGAAGCACATTTTTTATTCCTGGACAGCAAGACACATTTTACCATCTGTATCCTGTCCCAGACTGGAGCTAGTGTACATTACTCTCTACCAATTTAAGAAGAACACTGTCAGCAGACTGTATTTCAACCTAACTAGACAGCACAGCCATCTCCTTCACTCAGTGTATCTTCAATCTCAGCACACATGACACATACAGTACTTTGCATTTTAGTCTAATTAGACTGCAGTCTTTTATTTAGGGAGTAAGTATTCAGCATTTATTTTTGCTAGAGCAGTGCTTCTTCTATTCTGAGCATTTCTACTTTACAGTGCAGTGGAAATCATGTTGCAATACTTCCTATGCAATGCTGTCATCAATGAGGATCCCAACGACAATCTATCTTGTTTTGGTCCTCACACAGTGAGAAAATGTCATCTTACCTACATTTATCACTTCATTTACGTTTGACTTGTTTTTGTTATCAGGTGGAAACTCAAGAACGGCCATGGTAGCTGCCCTCAGTCCTGCAGATATCAACTACGATGAAACTCTCAGCACGCTCCGGTAAGGTTTCCAATTACAAAATGATTGTAGTTCATTTTATTTGTTTGGATTTAATCCTTTACTACAAATACAGTTTGTTTCTTTTACAATTCTTAGCTATGCCGACCGAGCTAAGAACATCAAATGTAATGCTGTCATCAATGAGGATCCCAACAACAGGCTGGTGCGCGACCTCAAGGACGAAGTGTCTCGACTGAAGGAGCTGCTCCGTGCTCAGGGCCTAGGGGACATCCTAGACAGTGAGTTTAATGCGGCCAAAGCTTCTAGAGCCAGACAGCGTCTACTCTCCGGGTCTACCACACTCTGGCAACATCTTCTTTCTACTTCACTGTCATCTAACTTTGTTTTCATCGCTGTGTCTGTTGTCATGCCTCAATTACTAAACGTACTTGTTGTCAAATACCTCCTTATAGAGTATATGTTGTACTATTTATAACATGCATAATAGAACACATTCTAAGGTTGCATAGTATATTACAAATAATTTGACCAAAAATATAAATGGTCATATTTGGCTAATTGCGACTGACACGAATGGTAGTTTAAAGCTGCATTAAACTATCACACTCCATTTGCTATACACAAGAGTAAGGGCTCATAGCCTAGTAAATTAGAGCCATAATACACCCATTAATAACTTCTAATATGTGGGCTGATTAATAACCTGCCTACTTGCTAATACCTGCCTAGATCATGCCTAATGACATGGCACTTAACAAGTGCCTTCGCATTCAGCTCACTAAGAAATGTCTGTAACCTTTTCCTATCATTCACTGGTGCTGACCTCTGACCCTCTCATCTTCTCCTGCTTCCCCTCAGTTGATCCTATGGGGGATGATTGCCCCGGAAGTGGAATCAAATGTGTGTATATGTGTGGAACTCATGAATTGTCTATCACTATTTGCCTTATTGATAAAAGCGAACATTGCTTTTGCCCCCCTTACCTATATTTAAATCTGCTACTGGCTTTGCATGTTGATGCTAAAAGCAAATGCTTTATAGAAGTAGAAGATGAAAGGCTTCTTTAGAACTGCTGATCTAGCATGCTTTGCGCTTGAATGATGATGGGGGGGAGGGAGATATTTGCGGGCTCCAATCCAACTGTATCACAAGTTGTTTTTGGAATATCCCTTTTGGTCTCATTACTTTTAGAATAGCTTGTCTGACTTCCCCACCCCCAAGCACCCACACTTTCTCTTAGCATATCTGTCTTTGGCTTACTTTCTAATGCTACTTTTCTTGACTGTGGTCTTTCTGCTTTTTATTTTGTTTTCTTTTACTAACCATTCGCTGCAGCTGAAAATGCTCAAATCTTTAAAATGGCACATCTCAGTTCCCGGAAAGGTGCTTGATTTTAAACTTCTCAGTAGCCGCACCCTCGTTGAATAGCTTGATGTAATAGTTTGTACTGAATAGTTAGTGTACCTTCTGCTGTATTCTCAGAAATCCCTAATAACTCCACCTTGTTTCCCTTTCACACTAATAATCTGTATTTTATTTTTTATTTAACCGTTATTTAACCAGATAAAAGTATTAAGCACTAATAATCTGTATACATGTTTTAACCTGAGTTCCTGCCCAAAAACAGGTCCTTACCTGATTTGACTAATCTTCATAGTTGATTTAACAGCAATAAAGAATCAAGTGTTTACTAAGTACTCATAAAGTTCTTCAGTACTTTGGTCTTGATGTATTTCCTATTTTTCTGAAATATGAAAATACTTTATTGACGGTGTCTACTGGACACAAATGTCAGCACCTCAAAAAATATTTAAATTGTTTGTTTTTATCCATTTCTTAGAAGGCACAGTCTGAGTTTTTGAGGCCATTATATTGACATGAGTTGCCTGATCTTTAGTGTGTGGGTGTGTGGTGTGTGTGTGTGTGTGTGTGTGGTGTGTGTGTGTGTGTGTGTGTGTGTGTGTGTGTGTGTGTGTGTGTGTGTGTGTGTGTGTGTGTGTGTGTGTGTGTGTGTGTGTGTGTGTGTGTGTGTGGTGTTGTGTGTGTGTGTGTGTGTGGTGTGTGTGTGTGTGTGTGTGTGTGTGTGTGTGTGTGTGGTGTGTGTGTGTGTGTGTGTGTGTGTGTGTGTGTGTGTGTGTGTGTGTGTGTGTGTGGTGTGTGTGTGTGTGTGTGTGTGTGTGTGTGAGTGTGTGTGTGTGTGTGTGTGTGTGGTGTGTGTGTGTGTGTGTGTGTGTGTGTTGTGTGTGTGTGTGTGTGTGTGTGTGTGTGTGTGTGTGTGTGTGCAAACTGCAGGCTGAACTTTGGCAGCATGTGTCAGTGACTCTCATCTGTCCTCCCTCTATCACCCTCCCATCCTGTAGTTGATACATGGATTGCAGTTTTCACGCAGTGTTTTCTCATTCAAGACAACAAAGGGACAGCAGCGTATTCCTCAGAATTGTACACAATTAAAATTAATTGCTGGGAGTTAATTGCTCTGCACTGTTATTCTGCCCACAGAGAAACAGGTGCCTTGGAAACTCTCTAACAGAGTACAAACTAAAATGTCTAATATTTTCTGTTGAAATGTGCAGGCAGACCTTTGCAAACCACCTGGAGTTGAAAACTGCTTCTCTCTGTAGCTGACTATTATGCTGGGTGGTTTGTCTTAACCTTTGATGTACAACTTGTGTCTTACATTTGGTCTTCCCTTCCTTTTGTCCTTTCTCTTCCCCCCCACCTCTTTCTATCCTCTCTCCTCCTATTTGGTTTTCCGTTCCATTTTATGTGGTTTATTCCCCCTCTCCTGCTGCCCTGGGCCTGTCCACCTTTTGTCTCCGTGTGCTCTTTTTCTCTCCAACTCTTTCTCTCCTGCTGTTGGCTCAGACCTGAAAGACATTCAGAACAATAAGCATAGATACTTGATAGCCTCAGAGAATCAACGCCCTGGCCATTTCTCCACAGCCCCTATTGGTTCCCTGACAGCCTCACCGTCCTCTGGCTCGCTGTGCAACCAGGGGGGCCTTCAGTCTGCCACCAGCATCCAGGAGCGCATCATGTCCACCCCTGGAGGAGAGGAGGCCATCGAGAGACTCAAGGTAGAGTTGGCCTGTGTAGACGGTTGCAGTGAAATCACACCTATGTCAAGAGAGAAGAAGAGTCCCACAGTTATTTGTCTACTCTGCTAAGACCCTCAAATGTGGATACTTTTACCTTTTACTTTAAGTCCATTTTTAGAGCCTTTTTGTTTTGCCCTTCAAATCTGCTCCTAGTTTGATCAAACTCTGCTGCATGTTGTGTTGCGTGTGGCAATAGGATGGCTTTCACGGTTTTATGTAAAGCATGTTCTTAAATTAAAACATATATTTGTATATCAGTATCTCCTTTGTTAAATACAAATCATCAAACATCATTGAAATGTATGTAAATGATCAAACAGTTAAAATACACTGTTCTGTGTCTCTCATAATATTCGTCATATTTCTCCTCTGCCTGCGGTGTTAAATATCTATTGTGTGGCAAAGGAGGAGCATCCCTTAGCTGCATATGGCTTACATACACATCCTACAATTGTTCATCAAAGTATAACAAACATTTGTACATAACATAAGAACATTTTAGTTTTATTAAACAATTGAAAAGATACCTCAGTTAATATAATATTAAGAGTAATATGTGAATTATAGGAACTGGGGAAGGTGCATCTTTCTAAATCACTGAAATATCTGTGAATAAATTAGTAAACCAAATAAAACACCAACTTAATATAAACCTCACACTGTAATATTTAAACAGTAAATTAAAGTTCTTATGTGAATGTCAAGATGGCTGTTTAATCTTTGTTTAGCCCACACACAACCTTTAATCAAAACACGTCCCTCCCTTCAGTCCTCATATGGCCTCTGAGTTTTACTTCTCACGCTCGCAGTACACTCTCTCTGTTGATAAGAAAGCACATTGCAAACGCCAACCATGAGGAGCTGCAGTTTCCATGGCAACTATGGTGCCCAGTCTATCTGTCATCCAATGACGTCAAACACCAACGCAGACAAGGACGAAATTGGACAAAATAGATCCAAGTCTCATTGGCTTTTAGATTTAATAGTGATCTTTAATAAAGGTGTCACAGCTGTGTGAGTGAGACGGAAACAAAGATCACAGTCAAAGTCACCTTTACAATTCCCCTTAAAGCTCAGTACTGCCCAACATAACAATTCATTATTGTATTAAACTAGGATGACTATATTAAACATTATCAGAACGGGGAACTCAAAGTTATGTTTTCACGCCATAACATAGACCATTATGTGGGACTGCCCTTCTCTGTTGTCGTGACTGACTCAAAATGTTCTTTAATGAAAGAAAGCATATGAACATGGCCAAGGAAGCTTGTTTATCACTAGTTTAAATCTTTTTAATCCCAGACTTGGTGTTACTGAGTTTAACACCCTGTAGCTACTCTAGTGCTACAGGTAATACTCAATTACAATCATTGTGTTTTCCTCACACTTTGCCTCTGTTGTTCAGGAATCAGAAAAGATTATTGCCGAGCTCAATGAAACCTGGGAAGAGAAACTGCGAAAGACTGAGGCAATCCGCATGGAGAGGTCAGTATTAACGTCATACGTGTGCATCCACCCCTCCCTCAATTCATCTGTGTCTTGTCAGTGCTAGACAAACCCCCCATAGCCCCGTCTCTGTATTCTCCCGTCTCTGTGCCGCTCCCTTTCTTCATCTATCTGCCACATTTCCGCTGCTCTTGTTCTGTCCATTTCCCTTCCCTTCTCTGTTGTCACACTCAGCCGCACAAACACCCCTCTCACACCCCTTTCTCCCCCTTTATCCACTCATCTGTGGCTGCAGACATAAACCATGTTACGGTCTGTCCATTGAGTCTCACTGGTGCCATTCTCTGCCTGTTGTCACTCCACAAATCACACACTGATGCTGTTCACCATCACTTCTCATCCCGTTTGTCTTATCAACGCAAAGGCGCTTTGCTGGAAATAAATGTACCGAGTGTGTGTAACTCTATTGCAGAAAGTATCTGCCAGAGAATATGTGCAACAATGTGTGTTATTCCTCCTGAGGGTCTGACACATGTTTTACTTCCTTACAGGGAGGCATTGCTTGCAGAGATGGGTGTGGCAATCCGTGAAGATGGAGGCACTTTGGGGGTCTTCTCTCCTAAAAAGGTAAATCAGACATGAGACACGCGCACTGAGGGTGATGGCGGTTGCCTGTTTCGATTTTCCCATGGGTGTTCATGCACACCGTTCCACCATCACTTCCTCTCTTCTGTTTCCTGTGTTATCTTTTTCCATGAGAACCCTCCCTGTCACTGTTTTTTCTCATCTCCTCACTTAATCATTCTGTCTGTCTCTCCACTCTGTTATTTGCTTCCTTCACAAACTCAGCTTAGCCAGGAAATGCCATTTGACGAGCAGTTTGATTGTTTTGCCACCAAGAAGGTTTGTTTTCATTAGAATTGGCAGACAAAGCACTCTTCCTGCACTAGATGAGGTTAAGTGTTGAGTAGTGCTTTAACATCCTTAAAATGCTGGTCAGAGTTGTCCCTATGGTTACCACACTGTTGCACAGATCTACATTTATTGTAACTCCTGTGTGTAGCATCTACGATTAATATCCCTCTCCATTATTAACTTTATATAATGATGGGATTTAATTAAGGTTCTGTGAAGTACAATTATACACAGACCACTTGAATGGAGGTTTATCTTTAAATATAATACCTAGCTCCGAGTAGATTATTTAAATGTGTCCTTAAGCTGCTTATTAGCACTGTCATGGGGCTTATTAAGTTACAGGCAATGGTATATTTCCCTCGCTCTCCTTACCGCTCCAGCATTTCTCAGTTGAGGAGACCAGGAAGACCAATAGGTGTATTATGGTATTCGCGCAAGCTGTCCCTAGATCAGCTGTGGTTTCAGAAAATGTCCCCTATTTGAATCCTTCCCGACTCCTCCACTGCATATTGATTTGTTTTCTTCCATTCATTTTTTTTTCTCTCCTTTCACTCACTGCTGCTCTATGGGTTAGCTTTTCGTTGAGAAGTCTTGTGAACTTTATACAGACTTTAATGGGGTGTTCTCCCCAAAAAAGGTTGGTGGTTTAGCAGACTAGCTGCTAGCATAATATCTAGTGATACTGTGATGTTTCAGACTCTAGGAGTGTCAGCACTGTGTCAATGTGACCCTTTCTGTCCGTGTACTGTATATCATGTATCACTGACGGCAGTGATTTAAGAATATACTCACTTTTTATTGTTAGTGTTGGTATAGATTGGTCTGTGAAAACATGATGCAAGTAGAGAAATTCTAGAAATATTTTTGTGGTAAACCGTCTATGTTTTATGTTTCATGTATAGACTCCACACCTGGTTAACCTGAATGAGGATCCTCTCATGTCAGAGTGCCTGCTCTACTACATCAAAGACGGAATTACAAGGTAACCCAAACCTGCATGATGATACTGAAATGAAGGTGTAAGAGTTGCATTCTTTCCAGGCAGTGGAAGTTCCTCTTGCTTCACTTCAAAAGAGTAAGATTTAAATACAGAGTCAGAGAAAACTGGCTTATCTGCCACTGCTCACCAAAAGTGTTGCCTTCTAAAGTTACTTTCCTCCCCTCTTTGTCCTTGTGCTCCCCTTAGAAGACTATTCCTGTTGAGTATTTTGTTACAATCACGCCTCAGGGGGACAATAACGGATGACAGAGTTACAGACGAAAACACCTATTGTCCTTTGGGGGTGTTGCTTTCTTAAAAAATATTCCATTTAACTTCTGCAGCTGACTTTTAGATGAAATGGCTGCCAACACAAAGAGACTTCACTTTCTCATAATGGCATCTCTTATTGTTTCAGGGTGGGTCAGGCTGATGCTGAAAGACGTCAGGACATTGTTTTAAGTGGTGCTCATATCAGGGAAGAGCACTGCGTCTTCCGCAGCGAGAGGAATCTCAATGGAAATGGTGAGGCACTATATTATGAGTTTGCTTGCTTAACTTTGCCATGGCATATGGGATTTGAATATCTGGATTATCATCAGATTTGAAACAAACCAATAAGTCTGGATGGCATTGGTGGATACATATATAATCAACGTTTATCTTCTGTTGCTAATGGAAACATTCTGCCCTGTCAGTAATCAGTACATACCCTGAATTAGATCTTTTCAGAATGAGTCACTGATGATTGGTTGTTCTGATTTTGCTAAAGTTGTCGTCATGCTGGTGCCATGCGAGGGATCTGAAACGTACGTCAACGGCAAGCGTGTTGAGGATTCAATCCAGCTACGTTCAGGTAAATCTCACATTTTTGTAAATAAAGTTATAAATGATCTGTGAATGTGATGTTTTTGTCGGAATGAGGTGACTGATTTCCTCATAAAAAGATAATTGAATTTGTATAATGGGTTTTTCCTGGGGCGTCATAAACAACAGTTGTACAATGTGGTTTATAGCATCTATTCTGATGTTTTAACCTTCATTTTAAACAAAATATTGGAGTTCTTACATTTACACTGTTCTATCAGCACTTAATAAACAATGTCTTTGCTAATTTAACGATCCCTGCCCATTTCTCCGCCCCGTCTTCTTTCAGGTAACCGTATCATTATGGGAAAGAACCATGTGTTCCGGTTTAACCATCCAGAGCAGGCACGAGCTGAAAGGGAAAAGACGCCAACGGCAGAAACCCCCGTGGAGCCGGTTGATTGGACCTTTGCTCAGAGAGAGCTGCTGGAGAAGCAGGGCATCGATATGAAGCAGGAGATGGAGAAAAGGTACGCAATCCATCCTGTTGGCCTTTATTTAAATGTCCTTCTATAAGTGTCTGTAGTGATCTGTTGGGTTTCAAATATGGATGCTAAAGTATATCATCATTTGTGTGATGTATTTCATAATAAACAATATGCTGTCATTTACATAGGCTCACTGAGATGGAAATCTTGTACAAAAAGGAAAAGGAAGAAGCAGACCAACTTCTGGAGCAGCAGCGACTGGTGAGTTCAAATCAGCTGGAATGAAATCAAACCCACTTTGTAAATGTTATTGATTCAGTTTTCTGTATTTGTAATGTTAGAAGTTTTAGACAAGTTAGTAGTAGCTGCATTGTGGGTTTATTAATTAGATATTAAGCCATTATTTATTTCATGCCTTTTGGGAGTTATTTTTAATTCAAGGCAGCTTCTCTTGATTCAGATAGTTTGTGATATATGGAGTTTAATTTGGCTGAAATGCGTGGAGTTCAAAGTTAAAGCATGGTTTTTCTATGGTCAATACCATTTTGAAAGCTAGTTTCTGTTTTTTTGGATGATAGCTTCACTTGGTCCTTTTTAAATCTGACTAGTACTAATTCTCACTCTGTGCTCTGACACTTTTGAGATGTCTGTGTGCGTGATTCACACTTATACTGCTAGCGCATGTCTGTTCTTCTTGCATGGTTGGTTTTCTGGTTTGAGAAAGATTGCCCATCTCTTGGGTTCTCTATAGCATTTTAATTGAGCGAGAATTAGATGTTGAAGCTTTCCCCTTTCCAAATCCCTGTTTTCATTTTTCTTGTCTTCTATAGTGGATCTGAATCTTGCAAAACAGCAACTTGCGGCTAACGTTTTTTGATATTATATTCAAAATTAATCTTAAACCTGAATATTGGTCAGTAACGATTGAAACACATTGCCTCGTTTTGATAAAGTGACGCTGCTTTTGCATGGTTCATGTTAATAGCATGTTTTCCTAACTCGTTCAGTACTGGTTCTGGACTAAGTTGCAGTGTTTGCTGTTGAGCTGGTCAGCTTTGAAGCGGCTGTTGATTTGCTTGGATTAGATTTCTACTCTAGTTTTCTTGCTCTGTTTTTATCCTGAGTTTCATCTCTCCAATGCAGTTGCTGACATGTCCAATGCATTGTGATAACAAAAAAACCCCGCTGTAGTTTTTTGACAGATAGTGACAATGTGGTTTCTCATTGACTTCTTTGGCTACCTCTCTTTGCTAGCCTTACATGGCACCGGCATAGCACACTGAGGGCACGGCTCAACAACAGAGTTATCGCTGCTTAAATCAGTGAATCACAGACCTCTACTCATACGACTGGTATTATGTGCAGAGCCTCAGGCATAGGGGTTCAGACTCCCAGCAACATAACATATCCAATTCTAGATATAGATACACTACATACACAATACATGAATTATTTGTACCAAATGGTTGTGATCTGTAATGTACTTTGTCTACGAAAAATGAGAAACTGCATTTTTTCCAACTAACATCTTTCTTGTAGTGGATTAACACTTACCCTCTCGCCTGCCTCTCCTCTCTCTACTGGCTTTCTGATCAACCGCAAGAACACTTTGTCTTCTAACTCACTGCTAACACAAAAGCCTTTCAAACCTTCTGGACTAAAGGAGAAAGCTCCAAAATGCATCTACATGCATGCCGCTGTAGCATGTTTGGGATCCAGCTTTCAAATCAAAATACATTTAATTAAGAAGATGAACATGACAAACGAACAGAAGTGCTCCGATCATCCACTATCCTCTATTGATATTTATTTTCGAATCATGATAGACATGCTTTACCTTTACTTTTAATATCAATGTGCAACATTGGGAACAATATTGTTAAAGCTGATAACCCCATTTATTATATCTGAAAAGCCTTTGAGCTATAGATACTTATATTAATATCCATTTATTTTTATCAATATCACCATTTCACTAGAGACGATATCAGAACAACAAACTGACAGGCAAGCAAGTCAATGGAAGCCACTGATTGTTGGATATTTATTTGTATTTCTATCTTTATTTTGAACATAATTATGGATGGATGTATACTGCATGTTGCCATACATCGTAAAATAATGATGTATGCACAATATTTATTAAACATTACAGTGTAATAGTCATCTTTGGCAAATATCCTAAATCTCACAATTCTGAAGCACAAAGCTCTGTCTAATTGGATTACAATTCTAATCAAGCTTTAACTTTACTCATAGTTGAAGTTCCCATGTTGCATATTCATAACTTTTAATCATTCTTTTATTTTAAAAGTCGCCCCTTCATCTTCTCTTTGATTTCTCATTTTAATTTCTCCTTTTTTTGGGAACCTTTTGGTTTGTGTCCTGTTGTTTTCTCAAGGATGGAGACTCTGATAGTGGGGATGACTCAGATAAGAGGTCTTGTGAAGAGAGCTGGAGACTGATCACTTCCTTGAGGGAAAAGCTGCCACCCAGCAAGCTACAGTCCATAGTGAGAAAGTGTGGATTACCCAGCAGTGGGAAGATAAGAGAGCAAGTTAAAATGTACCAGGTCCCTCAGCGGCGTCGCATCACCAAGGACTCCAAGTGGGTGACCATCTCCGACCTGAAGATCCAGGCTGTCAAAGAAATTTGTTATGAAGTAGCCCTCAATGACTTCCGCCAAACACGGCAGGAAATCGAAGCACTGGCCATAGTAAAAATGAAGGAGCTTTGTGCTAGCTACAGCAAGAAGGACCCCAACGAGCGGGACTCGTGGAGGGCCGTGGCTCGGGACGTTTGGGACACTGTAGGGGTCGGTGATGAGCGCATTGAGGACGTCGTTACCAATGGGCCACGACCAGGAGTGGTTGTAATGGATGACCTGAAGGTGCACATTGATAAACTTGAAGACATCTTGCACGAGGTAAAGAAGCAAAACAATATGAAGGATGAGGAGATCCGTACCCTCAGAAATAAGATGGTTAAAATGGAAAAGGTTCTTCCACTCATCACCCCAGAGAGCCAAGAAAAGCCTCCTGTAGTCACCTCCACTACCTCTGCCACATCCCCAAGAGAAGGGAAACCTCCCTTGCCAGAAAAGCCTGATGATGAGGATGTAGATTCACCAACAGGCCAAAGTGCAGGCGATGACTCTACCCTGAAGCGAGGCCACATGCGCTGGATGCGTCAAGAGCAGGTGCGCCTCAAGAACCTTCAGCAACAAGAGATCTCAAAACAGCTCCGCCGGCAGACCGGACCACACCGCTTCATACCGCCAGAAGACCGCAAGCTGCGCTTCCCCTTCAAAAGCAACCCTAAGCACCGCAATTCATGGAGCCCAGGCACTCATATTATAATCACAGATCAGCAAGTCATTGAGCTAAAGGTGCCCAAAGAAGCTGTAGAGGAAGACGAGGGCGAAAGCCTGAATGGAGAAGGACTGCAGTCTAAAGAAAGGATGGCTGCTTCACTGATCCAAGTCAGTCCTCCATTACCAAGCCCATCAGTCCAGTTCAGGAGCAAAGACTTGGAGCAAGGTTTAAGCCAGGGTCACAGACATAACTATAGGAACAACCAGAACCAGCAGCCCCATGAACGAAGCCGCAGCAACTCTTTTAATTACCGCCAGCGGCCCTCTGGCTCCATGGAGTCACTGCAGCAGTCTGAAAGCAACAGGAGGCACACACAAGCTTTCTACCTGCCCCGCCAACATCAGGCTCATCCCCAGCAACACCACCAACAACAGCCCTGCCACTACGATAACATGATGTATACAGATGGTAGATACAATGGCTATCAGCAGTACCAGCACACTGACCACGCTAACCATCCAATCAACTTTCAGCCACCTCCGAGAATGCGCAGGCAGATGTCTGCTCCAAATCTAAAAGCCAGCAGAGAGACTGCAGTTTGAGTGGGACATGTGGAATGAGGAACTAGTTTTAATATACTTTGAGTTTGAGTAGTAAAAATACATTACAGATCACAACAGCTCAAAATCATGTGAGTCACACAACTCAAACCGACTGTGACTTTTGCACTTGATCAGTGTGTTATTGGTTGATCCAAAAGTATTGTATGTATTATAAGAAGACATTTTATCATCACCATAATATATGCCGTTTTACGAGTTTTTGCTGCATTGTGTGCCCTGTGATCACTAGCATTGGGAGAGCTGTCATAAGGAATTGAAGCCAACAGACGATAAAGGGACTGTTCTTTTGTTTTTTTCTGAAGAGACATGCCATGCCTACTCTGCTCATCTTTTATCATGTGTGACAATTCATCAATCATGCTTTGATTTGCCAAAATTGTCTTCATGGTTGAATTTCTGAGTTTACATATTTGCCATTTTATCATTGATCTATCTTGAATGTTTTTAGCCACTACAATATAAACACACTGAAGTGTCTAGACTTTGGTTGTGATTGTACCCTAAACACCCTATATATATTTATTTTTTTGATGTACCATGTAACTGAATTTCAGGATGGAAACATCAGTTATCTTTGCAGTTTTTTTTTTTTTTTTTGCTGTACTTCATAAAACATTTACTGTCATAAATCACCATTGGCCTAGAATCAAAAGACCAGCCTGCTGGACATTTTAAATAATGGAATAACTTGATGCACTAGTCAATTGCGTGACTGCCTTTTTAAACAGACTGAAATATTGGTTTAAAGAAAGTGGTATTCAAAAGGTGCCTTTTTTATGCCTTAACATATTAATCCCGCTGTGCATTACAAATTCAATATTTTCTTTCTTTGCTTTTTAATTCAGTTTTCATGCACAGGGTTTTAAGCTAAAATGTGCAAAGGAATCTTCTTAACTTGCCTAACCAAACTAACCTTTTTTAAGTAATAACACTGATTTATTCAAATGCTTAGTTCAAGCCACTTGATTGCTGGATCCCAACCTTTCTTTCTTAGATGTATTTCAAATATATAACTTTCACCTTGTATTTCAGTACTTGCGACTTCCTCATGAATAATGAATTAGTTGGTAAAGACACACATTTCAATGTTAAGTCATAAATTACCCTATTAAAACTGTTTTTTAAAAACTACCCACAGAGCTTATTAAATACAAGAACCACTATGCTGAAATCCTAGGGGGGTGGACCTAACTTTAACACAAGTTCCACAAAATCTATTTTTATGTTTCACAAGTTCCACTAATCCAGAAGGTTCAAAAACAAATTGAGTTTCTTCCTGTATCAACCACACTTCCTCAGTTGAGCTCTGATTTCTTAAAATGACATTCTAGGTTTGTGGTTCACTGAGTAAGCACAGAGTTCTCCGTGTTTCAATTCAATGTCCTTCAGAGTGTTGTCATGGCTCCCAAAGACTTGGCTTAAAAATGTTGGAGAGAGGACAAAGGCTTGACGTGTTTGAATAATGTTATTTGGGAGAACTACAATGTCAATGGAGATTTTGAAGACTGCCTTGATTTAGCTGCATCAAAACGCCACTACCTGGATAGATCTATCAGAGCGATGGCTTCTGAACTCAGTCAGTGTTTTGCCTCTGTGCTATAGCTGATGCTTATTTGAATTAGCAGCAAGCCTGCCTGTCAATCTGCCTTTTCTTGCTGCATTCATTTCTTTAAAAGAAATGTTGATTCATTTGAACATTTAAGTAAAAGATGGCCTTTAAATCATCTGAGAATCAGTGACACTGAGCAGAAAGCAGAGGCCTTTTGAGATTTTCAAAATGTTACATTGGTTCACAATGATGAAATGATTTTCTGTGTTTTATACTATATGTTTTGACAGTATATACTCTGCCTTTCTCTGCTGTAACAAAAACCAAATGATATAATGACATGTGCAAGTCTCTCAACCTTACGCCTCATATCTTTGACTATCTTTGCATGCGATAGCTTACATTTCTTCATCCCTAATAAGTGCTCCATTAAAGAACGTTATTTAGCGTATGCACTGGTGCCAATGGCGACCAGGGAAGCTGGAAAGTAAACCACTTCAAATGAACAGTGCGCTGTTCTTTTGAAATACATATATGTCTCAGCTCTAAGTGTCTGTTGAGTGTTGTGCGTCTGCTTTTTGAATCTGCAATATCAAGTGCCTCAGTGCAGCTGTGTACCAAGTTGTGTTGCTCCTTAATCAAGCACTTTGTGCAAACATACATATGTGAACAAGGTAAGAATATACTGAGTCTCTGTGTTGCTGGAGGATTTTCAAAATATGACTGAAATAAAACGACATGCTCCAAGTGCAGTTATTTGTTTTATATGGGTAGTATTTGTTTTTCACTGCCATTAAACCAGTTTAGGGACATCATCTCATCTGTCCATTAGGCCTGTCACAATAACTACTTTAGTTGGACAATATACAGTCACATAAATGACCTCGAAAATCAATATTGTCATTTAAAAGCATTTATATGGTTATAATAGCAAAATAATGCAAGAGCACCCTTTTAAAGAGCATTATACTTCTTATACTTAAGAATTCAATCACTGGAATTGTATTGCTAAATCAGATTTAAAGTGTCCTTTAAAAAAAACACACACAATCAATACGACAAAAAATGGACTCTGACAACAAAAAGTCTTAAAAGGAGACAAAACCCTGCTGTTCATTCTGGCCTCATGCTGGCTTGAATGTTTGTGACATCCTTATTTAAACCCTTGCATATGTAAACACAAAGAGCATTATCGAGGTCAGCTAAAATGGTCGGGGTCCATAAGTATTTACCATAATGTAATTATCGTGGCAGGCCTTTTTGCATGAATGAACTAAACAGGAGTACCAATGTGAGACACTGTACAACACCTTACGTCAGATATGGGCTGTTTTCATTTCTATTTTTAAAACATTTTAAATGAATGTGGTACATGTCTTTATACTTTTATCCATATACATTGCTAAGGGTTTTATAAGCTATTTGTTATTACTGAAATCACATCACATATACTTTAACATGGGATAGGGATGAAAGTGTGATTAGGTGCTATTCACTTCACCCATCAACATAAAACGAGGCACTAAATGTAGTCTTTGCCATGCTGCAACGTAATTTGTGAATTTTAATAGACTTTTTTGAATGGGCTTGAAATACTGTATTCACATGAACCATTTAGGTTCACATTGCTACAAATGCAGATCTCTACATTCAGTAAAACTTTTTTTAGATTTCTAAATGTTCTTGAATAGATGGAATTTAGCTGTTAGCTTGTTGGTGGGATTTCAGCAGGGAGGAGGTTAATGACGAATGAAAAGGCTGCATTGTCTTCCCAGAAGACACTGAACAAACAGGATGAGGTCATCGGGACCACGGCCTGTCCTGCCCTGATGATGATGATGATGATGGCGCCTCTCATTGGATTACAGTTGACTCAGCTCCCACCAGCAGCTCTGCTCTTCCATCCCAGCCTTTTTTAAATGTTCAATTGCATCGGCTCTAGGATTCGGATACCCACTTTTTCGTATATAAAAAGTTAAACATTTCTTGGGCTTTTTTTGCTTTTTCGGCTAGAACTATTAAATATTTTTTGGTTTTGGATTGTGTCATATGTTTCCTTGATAACAATAGATATGTTATTATTTATGATTAGTGTCATATATTTTAACCTCTTCAAGTTATCAATAGCTTTCACTTCGAGTGTTTTACATCCAAAACACACAGTATTTAATAAAAGGTCTGGAAATGTACAGTATAAGAAAATATTACTGTATAATATTTAATGTATTTGTAAACCTAATTCTGTGTATCATTGCATTATTTATACATCCAGCTGCATGTATCATTTGGATCAGTATAGCCAAAGTTCTCAGTACATGCCTCTAATATAGAAATAAAACTGGTAGTATTGAGTATTCCCAACATATCACTGTGTATTTTGGGTTAAATGTGGTACAGATCTAATTTCACAGTTTTCTTGCGGCTGATGGAGAATTGTTCATGTTTTCTCTCCTCGTCCCTGTGTGTTGGTGTGCAGGTGTACGAGAGCAAATTGCAGGAGCTTCAGAAACAGGTGGAGACTATTTCTGTGGTTACCGAGACACCTGATGAAGAAGAGTTGGAGGAGGATGAGGAGGAGGAGGAGGAAGGTGTGTACTGTTAATCTTCAGCCCTGCAGATCTTTGTTTAGCAAATGTATTTATGGCTAAAAAGTATAAATATTTAAATGCAATGTTTGTTTTCTTTCACATTTTCTATCCAGAGCCTAAACTTCTGGGATGTGCGTATAGTATTTCCCATTTCATAACCAGAAGAATATAATATCAACTTCATTTAGATTAATTGAAATGTCTTAACTAATTACAAATTCAAGGTTTTAAGTCAAACTAGTCCATAAATGCAATATCCTATACTTTCTTTGAAATAAACATACTAATTAAACAAAACACATTTTACTTTGACCATAATTCAAGTTTTGCATGTTTTAGCCCACTACAAGTTTCTTCTACATTACTGGCTATATTTTCCAAAGGAAGCAGTGAAAATAAACTAGAAATACAGTTGTAAATCAAGTTGAGAGCGACACCAGGTTCTAATTTTGGGGATGGAGCTTAACTTGTCCTGTGGTCTTACAAGAAACACACTAAAAGTCTGTATTTCCTCTCAATTTGTCTTCTGTTTGTTATAAATGAGTGCTTCATAATTTAAAGCTGACAGTAATTTATGATCTTGGAGGTCCCGAAACACATCCTAAAGGAAAAGTTAACAGCACAGTGCTTGCAATAAACAGAGTAAAATAAAGAAGACGACATATTCCGCATGATGGATAATGTTGATTTTGAAGGCAGCAATGTAAAGTGCACTGGGCTAAAACAAGTACAACCACTGGCATGGTCCTTTTTGTGCATTATCATTGTGTGTGTGTTTATTTTCGTGTATGTTAACATCACCTGATTCCCCCGCAGTGCCGTGGACTCAGCACGAGTTTGAGTTAGCTCAGTGGTCTTTCAGGAAGTGGAGGTACCACCAGTTCACCTCCCTCCGCGACCAGCTGTGGGGAAGCGCCGTCTACCTGAAGGAGGCCAACGCCATCAGTGTGGAGCTAAAGAAGAAAGTGAGAAAACTGATATTGCGCTTTATGTTATTGTTCTTAATCAGTGATTTAAGACCGGTTTTCCAGCTTTAACATTAAAGAGAAAAATGTTTTGTTTAGCACAAAACTAGTGCTAGTGAAGGCAGGAAGATTTCAAATTTAAATTGCTTTTAAAAAATCTGAAAAAAAGCAGTTGAGCGGTCAACCTCGTAAAATGAATACAAAGAAAAAGGCAAATAAATAATGATGGATTAAAAACAACTAAAATAAGTTATTGGAGAGCCACAGTAACATTTATTTGTTCATGCCCTAATTTAAGTCAGTTGACAGCTTCAGCCTGTTGAACTGGACATCGATCTTAAAACATAATGTGTGTTTGTGCAGAAGGCAATCTTTCACATCACCCGAGCGGGGGTCCACCTTCCCATCCGGAGTGTGTGTGATTTATACACTCGTCCAGTTCCAGGCGCTTCTAGATTGATAATGGAGATGGCTCGTCTGTCACATAGACATTTTCACAGGAGTTTTATTTATCTTTGGTTTCCTTTCTGTCTGTTATTTATATCCAGTGATGTTAATTGGTTTAGCATTTTTGCCCCAGAGGATGCTGGGAAAAGTAAGACCACAAAATGGAGGCCGTTATGGATTTGTTTGACCTTTCAATCATGGTATATCTTTAATGGAAAAATACCTATCCCTTGATGTCTCCGGAGTGTTTTTAATGAAAAATAATCTTGAAGGTTCAGAGCTTAAAGTCATCATCCTTTGAGTGGATTCTCATGCTAGTTGAATGTTTTTTTTATTTGACTTGCCTTGATGTTTTTTTAAACTCTCCAATTATTCTTTATTTCCAACCACCTCTCCCACTCTTCAGGTCCAGTTCCAGTTTGTCTTGCTGACAGACACTCTGTACTCTCCGCTGCCCCCTGAGCTCGTGTCTCCAGAGCCAGAGAAAGAGCGCGACGCCCGGCCTTTCCCCCGCACCGTGGTGGCCGTAGAGGTTCAGGACCTGAAGAACGGAGCCACACACTACTGGTCCCTCGAAAAACTCAAGTAATGCCCATACCTTAAATTAACTAATCCTATTTGTAGTTGAATATGTTTTAAATGTTAAAGGCCACCTATTATGCAAAATCCATTTGTTCATGTCTCTTATACATAAACATGTGTCCCCTCTGTGTAAAGAGATTCTGAAAGTTTCAGGAAAAAAGATTCGCTCACTTTTTGTCCTGATCCATTTATATAAAAAACCTGTCTGAAAATGAGCTGATCAGAGTTTGGCCACTTTATGATTGGCTTGTGTAACCATTAGCCAGTAACCAACCAAGGTAACCCCCCCACCTTATCACCTGAATCTCCTCCTAGAGCACCATTGTGTTCTTTTTAACCAAATATCTCTGACGGGCGTGGGGAATGGCTCCTTATTTTCATCTCAAGTAAAAAACACATAATCAGCACTTTTGAAACAGGGCTGAAACAGGATTATGGGATGCTACAATTCATGATTGGTATTTGGTGTTTGGTATTTGGAGCCAAACACTTCAGAGACATGTTTTATATATATCTGAGACCTATAATATATTGATAAAAAATTGTATAATAGGGAACCTTTCATACTTAGCCAGCACAAGCGCAACATCTAGTGTATTGTGCACATTCAGTCTCTTCAGTCTGCTTTGGCTCCCATGTTGTTCTGATCTCAGTTTTCTCAATCAGCCTGTTGTCAGATCATTTCTCATGCCTTGAGTAACAGAAAAAAAATACCATAAATTATAAGACTGACATCTCCGCCCTCCATCCATTAGATGAGATGTATTTTATCGTTCTGCTTCCCGTTAATGCTAATTGCCCTGCGACGTCATCTGCAGGCAGAGGCTGGAGCAGATGAGGGAGATGTACGACCGCGCTGGAGAAATGGCCTCCACCAACCAGGAGGACGGAGAGGGCTCTCTGACAGGAAATGATCCCTTCTATGATCGCTTCCATTGGTTTAAACTGGTTGGGAGGTATGTAACAGGAACGATGGAGACAAACTATACTGCGTATGTTGTGACTCACTTAATATTCTGCATGAATAGTGTTTGTGGTGCTGCCTGTTTGCTGTTTGAGTCCTAAGTAATAGGTTTGGTTTTTGTGGTGAAACTCAATCAGCTTTTGTGATCCATTTATTTAAAATGGATCTATGTGTTAACTTCCATAAAATCTTTCCGTATTCATCGTCAAATTCTGTTATACAGATTACATTTCTGTCATTGGAGTCATGTGTATAAGTGGTATAATATGTTTAAGCATCATTTGTCAGCTTTTTGTTTTGTTCTTTCTTTTTTAATCTTTCATTGTATTTTTTGTCATGTGTATAATTTGGTGAATTTGTCATTTCATTTGGTGTTTTTGATTTCATGTTCATTGTAAAATATTCCTTTGTGTATTTATCTATATACGGTCTATGGTATTTATACATTTTATTTGACATTTTACTTATTTTTAATTTAAACTTTATTGCACATTTCTGTCATTTTGATTTACCCATTGTGAAATGTTTCTGTCTGTTGCCATTCTCATATTGATATGCCTTCCAGTTCATACAAAAGCTTGTTCATAACATAGTGGATTTGGATAAAGTGGAAACATGTGGCATTTTGTATTTGAACCAGCATGCATTAGAAGATGTGAATTTAGTTATTTTTAAAGTGGCATTTCATTTTGGTATAAAATAGTTTCTATAAATATATATATCTTTGACAGCTAGCAGCTACTTGTAATACCTGCTCTTTATTAAATGAATCCTTATGTTGCACTTGCAATGGCTTCCAAGTAGTAGTATTAACAAATATGTTCTCAATAGATTTGGTTTGGTTAATGATCAAAATTGATAGAGGTAAAAATCAACACATCTTTACCAATGAATGTACAGATACTGTTTGTGGTAATTACATTGCAATTTCAATATAACATTTATTTGTATGTTAGTACATGGATTCATGTTGTTTCTTTTTAAACAACATGCCATTAATGGGAACACAATGCCAAGGTGAAATGTCCTTTCAAAGCTATACTCGATGGCCTCTTTAACTCTTTTTATTGCTCCATTGTACCTTTCCTTGGTTCTTGCCACTATTTCCAAACTTCCAACCCGTCAGCTCCCCGATCTTCAACGGTTGTGTAAATGAGCGCCTGGCCGACCGCACGCCCTCTCCGACCTTCTCCACCACGGACTCTGAGATCACCGAGCTGGCGGACGAGCGTCAGAGCGAGATGTCCGACCTGATGGACGACGAGGCCTTTGTGGACGACACCAGCTCAGATGCCGGCACCGAGGAGGGCTCGGACATCTTCAGCGACGGCCAGGACCCCTTCTATGACCGCTCCCCCTGGTTCATCCTGGTGGGAAGGTTGGTGACCGGCAGCGGCATTCCCACGCCCTCCACACACAGGCTGGGACAGGGGTGTAGGGGGGATGATGGCTTGGTTTAATAATGTTTATCTTTAATACACATATAGAGCAAAGTGACACAAATGGGGGAATACATAACATAAAGATGAATGAGTGCAGGATATAGAGCAACATAATCAAATGCAGATGAATGATATTTAAAGTAATGCTTCTCCCTCAAGATATTATTTTCTATGTCACTAACTGACCCCATGTTATCTTGAAGAATTTCCTTGTTTCCTCTCAGGCCTCCACGGTGAACAAAGAATACAAATAAATAGAAAAAGTCTTGATTAATTGAATTCAATGCTTTCAACAACAGCAGAACTATCAAAACATCGTTTTAGAAACTCTCACGCTCCCCTTCCAATATTATAGGAAGTCTTATTTATTAGTATGCTTATTACTTACCAAACACATTTGTCTCTAAAAGCTTGCTATTTAAAACACTTAAACATATTCTGTCTTACACTTACGCAGGCACATTTCTTTTCTGTGAGAGTAAGATTTATTCTACTCTTTAATATAGTTTTGCTGTTGTTAAACGCATCCCCCATTTCCTTCAATTCATCAAGAATTATCTCCATTTTTGGATTTTGATTTCACCCTGGAGGCATGTTCAGGAGATATTTAGGATACAAGATATAATTTTATATATTATTATGGTAGCTGGCAAAGTAGATTATTTAAATATTTCAGCGAATAAATAACCATATATTTTATTATTTATCAGCAAATCCCTCCACGGTTAGAGCATCATTTCAGAAACAGATCAAGTATTCATAGCAGCTTTGCAGAGATACATTGGACAATTTTGCAATTTAACATGATTAGTCATGCTTCTGTGCTCACAGGCCCACTTTGTATGATTTACTTTTAATTTAGACTCTGTTTCCAAAAATTGAAAAGCCACCATCCTCTTCTCTCCACCTCCTCCCAGCGTAATGTCTCATCCCCCGCCACCATCACCGCACTGACTGTATTAACTCCATCTGTGGATTTGCTGTGTCTAAGTTGATTAGCTGTCTGTCCATTTTTTTTTATTATCCTTGAGCCCTTGTTTGATTTATTTGTTTATTTTATTTATAACATGAATTTGTTTTATAACCCTGTATGTGTTTTTTTTAACATTGCTCTTGAAATGTATTGTAGATATTATTAACTCACTGTCACTGCTTATTTGTGTTTTAATTCATTGTCAAGAGGAAATAATGTGCTGCAGCAGCATTAGAAATCAGAGCACACGCTGTACCGAGGCCGTTGCCGTAGCGCCGGTAACGTCATAGCTGAGTCATAAACAGCGTTTGCCAAGCCATGCACGCCACCAGACTGCGCACCAGACTGCGCACCAGACTGCGCACCAGACGTAGCTCAGCCTCTTCGTCACTGTGACTTCAGAGATTTTCCAGATTGATATTCCTCCTACCCGGCCTCGAGTCTCCCATTAGAGGGAGAGGAGGAGGAGGAGGGGGGGGGACACAAAGAGTAGGTCACCAGGGGTGCAGCAAAACAAATCAAGCCCTAAAAAAAAACACGTCAGCGAGTGTGTGAGTTAGAGACCAACATCTCTATATCTGTATTACGACACAATAAACAAGTCTTTTACAACCTTTACTGCTGCGTCCCAGGCGATCTGTCATCTCCCTGTCACACAGTTTAAAAATAAAGAGGATGCTTTAAACTGCTGCTGATTTCAGAGTGCTGGAGCAATTAGAATGTAATGTTCACATGTTTTTTCTTTTTTCATTATTTTGCTCAATCCTTAACATTATTGTTTCTAATGCTGTATGTTATAGTAGTTATTAATATATGCTTTATTTGCACATTGTGATATTTAAATCATTGTGAAGACATGTATGTCAGTAAATAATGTAAAGCTTTTAGAACATTGTCTGTCACTACTCAGATACTTTTCAATTGGGAGCTATGCAATTTGTTTTAATAAGCTTTATTAATTGCAATACATTGCAGTTATATAACAAAAAAAAACAGAAATCATCATTAATACGATTAAAATGTGTCTCCTGGATCCAACTGTTTCACACTGCAGCAGAATTTCAAGTCTCCTCCTTTTCCTCGCAGAGCTTTCGTGTACCTGAGCAACCTGCTGTACCCTGTGCCACTGGTGCACCGTGTTGCCATAGTAACAGAGAAGGGCGAGGTGCGTGGTTTCCTGCGTGTGGGGGTCCAGGCTATAGCTGGTGAGTAATTAATGAGATTTTCGAATGAGCACGACTGCTAGCATCTCCATGCAAAGGCCATGCCTGCTAATCACTCATTCCACATTCACTTTATTGTGCTTTATAGATTGGGCTTTCACCCATGCTGCATCCGTAAAAAACAATCCACTTGTACATAAATAGACGGGTGAGGGTAAATCAAAAGAAGATACAGATCTAAGAATATAAAAACAAACTAATGATAATAAAAACTGCGATATCCATGTGAAACAGGCTGTTTAACTTACATTTGAATAATATAGTTAAAAAAAACCTACATAATATGTTTTAATGCCATATTGTATTATTTAGACGGCAAAATATATTTAACTCAAACCTAATATCGATATTTTAGGTTTGATATCATTGTGAGAACGTTTTGCAAAGCCACAGATCTGGTGGCAGAGAGAACACTCCCTCAGATGTTCTGTGTGTTCCTTTAAAGTGCTCTGTCGGTTTGAGTCTGCCATGTCTGCGTTAGATCCTGATAAAAGTTTATTTTGTCTCTTTGTAGCTGACGAGGAGGCCCCAGACTACGGGTCAGGAGTTAGACAGTCAGGAACCGCCAAGATTTCCTTTGATGACGAGTACTTCAAAAAGGTGAGCCCTGAGTCAGATGGAAGAAGATTCAAACCTAAGACACTGCGAGAGAGTGGGAGTTAAATATTTAGGATCAATCACAAAGTTTACAACAAAGTCACAGAGGCTGGAGATGTGTTAGCGTTCTTGCTACAAACAATGTCACACTTTCCTCCAATACTTTTATTTAATACCTGTCATTACTAGTTACTTTGCAGACTCAGGTTAATAATACAATACTAATAATAATAAAATGATGATGTAATATGGTGTAAAGACTTAATAGATTATTGTGGGTCATTCAAATGCTACCCGACATTATATAAAGTAAAACAGTTAGAATTCAGTCATATATTCTATAGGTTATTCTGAAATTGGCTACCCTATATAATGAGTGCTTTTACTTTTTGTAATTATGTTTTATTGCTAATACTTTTGTCCTTTTACCCAAGTTACATAATGCAGGACCTTTACTTGTAACTTCATATTTCTAAACCTTGGTAATACTTATTTAAAGTAAAAGATCAGGGTACTTCTTCCACCCCTTCTAGCAGTTCTATACTGATGTCTTGTTTATCCTCCTCCCCAGAATGACTTTTCCTCCGTGGTGATGACCCACTCCGACCTGTCCCTGGAAGAGCTGCGCATTGTGGAGGGTCAGGGCCAGAGTTCAGAGGCCACCACACCCTCAGAGGAGCTCAACAGAATCAATGACATGGGTAAGGCTGCCAGACTTTTTCCTCTCCACTCGTAAATCTCCACCTCTCAGCCCGCAGGGAAACATTGGGCAGATGTTCCCGTTGAATGCAAAGGAGGGCTGCACATGTATAGTCATGGAAATGAGACTCATGCAGTTTTTCATACTTTGTGAAGGAATGTCTTTACAAATCACATAAAGTGCGGAAACTAGTCTGGTTGTATTGTGCAGAGCTTAGAATTCATATGCAGATTACAAAGCACAGGTGCAGCATTTTCAATTAATCGGAGCTGAAGTCCTTCTCTAACTTTCCCCTGTTGCTTTCTCCAGATCTCAAGCTGGGTGACATGGCTGACCCCAAGCTGAGCTGTGATGAGGGTCTGGCGGGCCAGCTGGAGGTGGGCAGCATCTTTACCTTCCGTGTCACGGTGCTCCAGGCCAGCGGCGTCCCACCGGAGTACGCAGACATCTTCTGCCAGTTCAAGTGAGTCAACAATCCTCATAAATATGCTGTGAATACTAAATCCTAAAATCAAAGCTATACGGCTGAGAACAGCTTTGATGAGGGAGAAACTCATAAATAACTATTATAATACTTAAATAAGATACGGTATTTTATCACCCTGTAGGTTTGAAAGGCATTTTATTTAAAAAATTGATAAGACATCTCTTTGAAACTGCTTTATCTTTCAAATATAAGGAACCTTGCCAATAATTAATACAAAGAACAATGAAGGCTTAATGCTGACATGTCTTTTGTGTGATAACAGAACACCCCTATCTTGTTTATTAATAAAAGTAACATCCATTTATGTTTCTGTCCTTAGTTTCCTGCACCGTCATGATGAGGCCTTTTCCACTGAGCCTCTGAAGAACACCGGCAAAGGAGCTCCTCTGGGCTTTTACCACGTCCAGAACGTGAGCGCACACACGCACACACACAAACTTTAGTTCAACAGCTCTATGTAACTGACTTTCATTTTAACAATACCTTTCTTTACTGTTGGAGCAGGTTTCTGTGGAGGTAACAGAGTCCTTCATCGAGTACATAAAGACCAAGCCCATCGTGTTCGAGGTGTTCGGCCACTACCAGCAGCACCCGCTGCACCTTCATGGCCAGGAGCTCATCAGGTTTGTGCCGTTAATAAAGACATTCTCAAGTCGCAATGCTCTTTTCCTTGAGTGTTTTTCCTTTGTTGTACTAATCACGACACAGATTCCTCTTCAATTGTTTTCCCTTTATGCCCGGGAAACATACTACTAGAATACAACAGATACATTTTGTGAGAATGTTCCAATTGCTTTCTATATTAAGTAAGTGTACGTTTTTTTCCACAGTCCTCCAACACAGTCAAGGAAGTACTACCCTATTCCCATGCCTCTCTCTAGACCAGGTAAGGATTCTATTGTCATCTCATCCCATTCTGAAACAGCAATTTGTTCTGCGCCTGTCATCCTCATTTCAGCATGTTTCTTCTGTTGGTCATGGTTCTGTCAGCATGCCTCATATTTTCTTCCACTTTTCTTTCATTTCTCGCTTCCTCTGGATTTTTTGTTCTTATTTAATCACTCTCACACCATCCGTAATCCTCTTACCCAACTCCATCCTCCCACTCCCAAATCTCCTTATTCACCTCCAATCTTCCTCGCTATTCGTAAAACATCTCACACTGACACCCCAGACCACGCCCGTAAGATAGAGTTAGTGCGCTACCTGATGAGTGGCTATATGAACGGCAAAGTGCTGGACCAGCTGTCTGAGCACGCCAACGCCCTGGCCTCCTCTGCTGTGGCCAGTCTGGAGGATGAGGCCGACCAGCTCTCTCATTTCATCTTCCTCCCCGTGCCCAATGACCCTGTGCTTATTGTGCCCAGGCACCATGGTTGGTACAGCAGACACTGTAGTAGCTAAGCCGTTAGATGTACCATTGTTGTAGAAATTAGCTCTGTTTGTCTCATGTGCTGTGTGACTGCAGGAAGTAGCTCCACAAAGCTCTGCAGTGGTGAGGTGTGCTCTGCTGCGCCTCGCTGCTGCAGGTCTGTTTAGAATAAATCAATCAGCCAAACTCTCCACTGTCATTTTCACTGCTGACACCTTCAGGTACATTATAAAACCAGTAAGCATAGAGGATCAGCAACCTAGCATTCACAGCATAAACCCAGAGGCTTAAGCCTTTATTGGTTCAGCTGCTGTCCAATTACAGTACTTGTCATGTGCTATAATGTTCTTTTTAACCATATTGAACACAAATAATTGTAGCCGTGTGCCTCAGAGATTAGCCCGTTTCAACAGGAACATAATCCTGACGTGTCAGACAGCAGGGTGTGGTGTAATCTGTGATTTAGCTCCTTATAGCATCTCAGTATGTCCAACTGTTGAGTTTAATGTAGGCTGATTGCTTAGGGCTCCGCAGTTTAATCTATAGAGTGTATATCTATCACTTATTTTCATTCATCCCTTCTGCAAATGTGTGTTTGTGTGTCAGTTCCAGCCACCAAGTTGAACACCATCACCAAGTCCAACCTGGGTCAGTGTGTCAGCAAATATGACCTGCTGGTCTGGTTTGAGATCAGCGAGCTGGAGCCCACCGGAGAGTGAGTGTCTGCACATTCATCTTATATTCACATACAGATCAAATAAAAAGCTATCAATTACTTTTGGTTCTTTATCTGGAAATTAAACAAATAACATGATGTGAGGTCTACTGTAATTCCTAAAGTGCTCCACTAAAACCTAAAAATATGTTTTTAAATGTCAGAACCTTCCCGTTCTACTCCATATGACGCATGACCACAAACATCGTAAAAACTTGATATGACAGGTTCTTTAAATAGTGAGGTGGGAATTTTTAGGTGTCAGTATAGGTTAGAGAGTCTGTGGATATCATGGCTCTACTTGGGCATATTCCAGCAACATATGAACAATCAGTCAGTATGATCACCATGAATTAAGATCTAGGAGCTTTGACTTTGAAAAAGAAATAGCCTGTGTGTGTACCCTTTTTCAATTGGTCGATATCTTTTTTTTTTAATGCAATTAATCAATTAGAATACCAGAGATATGTTATGTATGATCAGATTGAGTATTTCCTCGCTCATTCCACAGGTACATCCCGGCTGTAGTGGATCACAGCGGAGGACTGCCATGCAACGGCACCTACCTGCTGCACCAGGTGCTGTATTTCTACAAATAGTACATTAATCACTCATTTTATAAAGATTTATTGCACATACTTTCACTTACAAAAGTAAAGCGAACAACACCCTAGTAAATACCATTTATTTTTTACAAGACACATTCCAAAGTTTTATTTAGCTGTCAATCAATCAAGCTAATCAACTTTTTTTGTCACAAAAAACAGTAAATGGGAAAGCTTTAGCCAACATTAAAATCCCCATACATCAACAGCATTAGTTATAAAGAAAGGATGAAAGACAAGTAGATAGAGGCGAATGGATAAAAGAGAACAATAAAATGCAAACAACACACGTTACTACATACATGTCACATATAGCACATCACAATCACATAACAGGCACAAGGGGCAACATCCATGATCACAACATAACACACGCGCCATGTCCAACACAGACTAGTGTGTGCAGGTGTAGTTCTCAGTGAACCATTATAAAGTCAGATTTATTGCACACACTATTCACTTACAAAAGTAAAGTGAACAACATCCTAGTAAATACCATTTCTTTTTTACAAGAAACATTCAGAAGTTTTATTGCGCTCTAGATGTCTATACTCCGATCCTAAGCTCCCGTTATGTGCGCTGCAGGGGATCCAGCGCAGGATCACGGTGACTCTCATCCATGAGAAGGGAAGCGAGCTCCACTGGAAGGACGTGCGTGAGCTGGTCGTGGGTGAGCAGGGTTCCTCAGAGGATAACTACTACTATCTTTCTACAGGAAACGGGCTGCAGAGACCCAAACACAGCTGTTTCACAGTAGAGCAGAAAAAAACAGGATGTTACTACATGATTGTTTCCTCATTCACAAGTCAGTAACAACTTGGTGCGGCACCTTTTATCGTCTCAAAGGAAGCTTGCTTTGTGAGGCTGCACTAAAAGAAAATCCTCAGTCATATTTCCAGTTATGGGATTTGTTTCAGTTTCCCCTCAGGTTGCCACTTTTTTAAAGTAGTTTATACTCTCGCCGATGGACGAAAATAACTACATTTTATACTCTGAGAAGCTGACATTTGTATCCAGAGAGACTCATAAGTAAGCAGGCATGTGTGCTGCTTACAACCCATTTTTGCTCACACCTGAACATTTAATTTATTTGGAAGTGTTCTCTGACGTTTACAATGTAAATGTTTTCCTCATTTTCAAATAATCTAGACTTTCACTATTGATAAAAGAGGAATTTCTGATTTCCTGTATTCTTCCTTTGTATTTCCAGGCAAGATGTTGATGAGTTGTGCTGCTCTGTGTCCATCAGGTCGTATCAGGAGCAAGGCTGAGGTGGACGACAGCGCTGCTGATGCTGTCCTGTCCCTCAACATTATCTCTGCCAAAAACATCAAGTCATCTCACAACTCCAACAGGTATCTGAGATTCACTCAAATTGTACAAACATGACACGTTTTAAACCCATTGTATTTTTTAGGTGCTACTGTAAGTACAGGTTTGATGCACAATTATTAATCCAAGCCAAACCTGAATAACATTTTTATATTGTTTTAAATCCAGAACATCTCAACTCAGTTATCTTATCGTGATCATGTGGTTGTTGATTTATTTATCCTTAAAAAACAGTTAAGAAACAACATTTGTGTATGTCTTTATATTGGCTGAAGGCTTGGAGTAATCATTGCATGACCGTTTCCATTTTCACTGCTGTTAATTTTCCTGTTAATTTGCTCCATTGTCTCTGTTTGCCTGACTCTCTTTTTGTCTGTGCACTCTCTCTCTCCTCCTGCTGCGGCTGGACTCTTGATTGTGCTCAGGCTTTCTATTGATAAGGATATTGATAGGTACCAGTGAGCGGAGAACATAAGGCTCCTTCTGTGAAAGACCCTTATGCTTCTCTTTAGTCCTAGAGATTCATAGAAATAAGTTCTCCACAGTCTGTGTTTTTTTGTTAGCATTTTTGCATTAGGTCTGCCTTTTATTCCAATCAATATAAGGATCTGAATAAAGAAATCAAATTCTAAATCATTTATGGAAATAAAGGCAAGCTTACATGCAAATGCAAAACCCTTTTTGTGTTAGTTTGTATCATGTTATGTTGGTCTGCTGTTGCACCCAGATTCCAAATGAATGTTTTTCTCTCAGCTGTTATTCACTGTTTGAGCCATAGCTCAATAACAACCAAGCCCATTGAGGCTCCAACAGGGCAGGCTGGCTCTCAGTCAGTAGGGCACAGCGCCCCCTGCTGCCAAATACAGGAAATGTGTCAATCCTAAAAGAGTCTTAAAGGTCCCCTATCATGCAAAATGCACTTTATACATAACTGTGTGTCCCCGATGTGTCAGGGAACTCACAAAGTGTCAGAAAACAAAACCCTCTCTCCTTTCCTCCGTACCGAAATCTCACCCATAATATATGCCTAAAAATAGCATGATAGGAGATCTTTAAAACAGTCATTTCTATTAAATGCAAATAATTACAGTAAATGTATGTATTCAGTTTAGTTTTTAAACTGTGAATGCTCTAACAGTCTTCACATTGATACAATGAGGTATAATATTTATATCAAAACTTAAATATGATATATAGAACATATTAACCTTATATTCTGCTTCCCATGTTTGGTATGTGCCAACTGTTACACACGGCTCACTGCTCTTGCCACATTTTCTAACACTGAACACGTGTTGTTGTGACTATAGTTAAGCTTTCACCTTGGTGTGTTCCTCACATCTTGTTGTGACTTAGGATAAGTGTCAGTCACTGCGGAGCGTTCACTGTCGTAGTTTTACCCACCACATCAGTTCCAGAATATGTGACTTTATGTGGTTACTACCAAAATTAGACTAGTTGGTTTGCTTGTAGTTTAAACACTGCTGCACAAATATCCTACACTCTCTGTTGTTAACACAGCACTGATTAGGACTTCTAATAGCGCTATTAGAAGATAACATTAGGTAAGTGAATTTCTCTCATTTTGTTGATAATTAAATATATTTTTGGTGTTCTCCTTCAGGACTTTCTACCGCTTCGAGGCAGTGTGGGACAGCTCCCTGCACAACTCCCTTCTGCTAAACCGAGTCACTCCTTATGGAGAGAAAATCTACATGACCCTGTCTGCATATCTGGAGGTCAGTCATTGCTCTGAATGTGTTGGAAATGTTCTGCATTAAGCTGTAGGTCAACAAATCAATCAATCAACAACTTCATTAATCCTGCAAGGGGCAATTGGTTATGAGCAGCAGTTTATGTCATGTACACAGGCAGGAACATACAGGAAGAAAATCAAATCTCTGTCTCCTCTTCACAGCTGGACCACTGCATCCAGCCTGCTATTATTACCAAAGACATCTGCATGGTCTTCTACTCAAGAGACGCAAAGATCTCCCCCCCACGTTCCCTCAGGAACCTCTTCGGGAGTGGATACTCCAAAACCCCTGACTGGTAAGATGTTATGTCAGTGGGATTAAATATATCTAGGGCTGTTCCAAATGTTGTTGTTTTTTTAGAACTTTTTAATAAAAAAAAATGTATTTCCTCAATTTCAATCAAGTGAACCATCGGTCTTGTTTTTTTAATGAAAATAAATCATAAGTGCTCGCCTCCCTTTTTGCATTAAGGAGGATGTTTTTTTACCAGCTCTTTAATATATAGTCATAATGTTGTTTTTGAAAAGCTTAACGCCAACACATATGGATTAAAGCAGATTATTTGTGAAATAAGATATGTAGTAAATAAAAAAAATGGTAACATGTATTCTTTCAATAAAATGTGACTTTTAAAGTATACAACAGAATAATACAGAATCTCCTTTGTTTCATTACAGCAATCGCGTCACTGGCATCTACGAGCTGAGCTTGTGTAAGATGTCCGACACAGGCAGCCCAGGTGAGCAGACAAAACAAAAAGAGACTGCTACTTATTCCCGATTCCTCTCAGTTTGTCCTAAAGAGTGCTTATGTCCTGAACAGGGATGCAGCGGAGGAGGAGGAAGATCCTGGACACATCGGTGGCCTACGTGCGTGGAGAGGAGAACCTGGCTGGCTGGAGGCCCAGAGGAGACAGCCTCATCCTGGAGCACCAATGGGAGCTGGAGAAAATGGAGCAGCTGCATGAGGTAGGTCCTCAAAGGTCATCTGCATTCTTAAAGTAAAACAAAAACATCCCTTTTTTGACCTTCCAAAGCTTTCCCTCGTCTCCCTCAAAGTCAACTTTATTGTCAATCTTTCACTTTATGTGTACAGATATAGAGATCGAAATACCGTTTCCCACAATCCCGAGGAGTACAAAATACAAATATATATATATAAAAATATGTATATATAGTGTATATATATATATATACATAATCAACAGACACATTTGTACATATGCACACATTAAAGACATAAATAAAAGCACAACAATCAATATATATAAAATAACAGTCACTTCAAAAACTGTAAAGAAAATCAGAATCAGAATACTTTTATTCGTCCCACAGAGGGGACATTTACATGTGTTACAGCAGAAAAGGGCCAAAGAGAGCTTAATGTTAACAAGAAGCATGCATACAAAAAAATATTAAAGATACAAAAAAATTGAAAAATTACACAATTTACAAAATACACATCCTGTAACAGTTCTGAAGATGTAGCAGCCAGGTATATATTGCACAGTTATTAACGGCATATATATATATATATATAAATTGCACATATTGCACATAGTTGGTATAAATGTACATTAGTGCAAGACTGTCCATAGCAGCATAAAAAGTGTCTCCCTGCTTTGCCCTTGTCTAATATCCCACAAATACCAACTTTCAAAGTTCTTCCTGCGATGTAAACTTAAACGCCCCCCTGTCATTGGTCCAGGTGGAGAAGACCCGCCACCTGCTCCTGCTGAGGGAGAGGCTGGGAGACGATGCTCCTGTGGGAACAGCCCCCCCCACCAAGTCCCTGAACGAGCTGCTGTCCCCCAGCATGAGCACCGGCAGCCTGTCCACCTCCACCTCCATCTCCTCGCAGATCTCCAGCACCACCTTCGAGAGCGCCATCACGCCCAGCGAGAGCAGCGGCTACGACTCGGCCGACATCGAGAGCCTGGTGGATCGTGAGAAGGAGCTGGCTACTAAGGTGAGGGCGACTGCTGTATTATGGGATACTGACATGTGAAAAATGTACTGTGTGCTGCATGGTCATCACCTCTACTCCTCTGCTGTGTACAAATCAGTCTCATCTTTGTTCTGTTGTAGTGCTTGCGCCTCCTGACACATAGCTTCAACAGTGAATACAACCAATTGGTCAACAGCATCAGTGACTGCAAGGTGAGTAATGACGGAATTAAATGTTTACTTTAAAAGTACTTTAAACGTCTTCATGGTTCGGTTTAGCTTTAAGTCATATTCTGTAGAGAATTACCAAATAGGCAAGTGACCCCTAAATATACATCTACTTTTTGTCCCCTCATACTTACTTTACTTACTGAATAGTTTAAAGCTAACATTTCGAAATTAAAATCAACATTTAAATGCTGTGTAGCTTCTTTTTTTTGCATGTCTATTCATTGAAACTTGGTATTTCTGAACATGTGCAGTTAAAGGGCTACAAGGTAATGTAATATTATAAGTCTTATAGCTTACTATCTATTTAATAAGATTCCAAGTAACTCCAGAGCGCTATGAAGTCAAAATGGTCTATCACATTTGGAACAGCCCTAGTATTTTTCCACTTGCAGTATTTGTCCTGGAAACAGAAAACTGTGTTTGACATATATTTCATCATCCTTCCTCCCAGCTGTCTGACATCTCCCCAATGGGACGGGACCCATCAGTCCAGAGCTTCAGCAGCGCCACCCTCACCCCCTCCTCCACCTGCCCCTCTCTGTCCGACTCACGCTGTGGATCCATGGACCAAAAGTAAAACGCTATACTTTATACTAAATTCCTCTTTGTTATTGGGGATGTCTATTGTCATGATCAAGATGCTGACTGAGTGTGCTTTGCTCCTCAGGACCCCAGAGAACAGCTCCCGTGCCTCCAGTCCCTCCTGCTCGGACTATGAAAACTTCCCCATGGTTCCCAGTCCGGAGACGTCCTACCTAGCACGCGCTGGAAAGAAAGAGTTCCTCAACTTGGTGCCTGATATTGAAGAAATGAGGCCAGGGTGAGTGCTGCAGTGAAGTCATTTCCAAAAGTCAATATGTGCTGCATCTTGTAGCACAAACAAAAAAAGATAATCCTGTTTTACAATCCAAGCAGATATCATTTGAATTAATTCCTGAACCTGGGTGAACTAAATTCTCTTCCACAGAAAACAAGCACTGCATCAAACAAAGGAGTTTTCCTGACTGTTCTTTTTTTCTTCTCCTTTTTAGATCTGTAGTTTCCAAAAAAGGTTTCCTAAGCTTCATGGAGCCGCGCTCCAACTCGTGGGTGAAGCACTTTGTGGTTGTGCGCCGCCCCTATGTCTTCATCTACAACAGCGACAAGGACCCGGTGGAGCGGGGGGTCCTCAACCTCTCCACAGCTCAGGTGGAGTACAGTGAAGACCAGCAGGCCATGCTCAAGGTAGGGGAAACATGCCGAGTGTATATCTGCTTCTAAATAAACACACAATATATAACAACTTTTAAAATCTCTTCTCCTTCTGCAACCTTAAACTATATACATGAGAGTAACACATGCCTCACTTCCGGGCAAAAAGTACGGCTCCGCCCACTTTTGGGGGAAAACAAAGTTGTCATTTGAATGACGGTCAATACAAATTCTGAAGTTTTTGCCAATCCGATCAGAAATGTAAGAAAACCGTGGATTTTTGGATATTCAAAGAGCCCGATTACAATGGCCAGACAGGCAAACAATTACATTAAATCATTGGAAATCCAAGATCGGGCTCGATATATGGTTAAATATAGCAGTAGGCGATCGATGTCCATAGATGAGAGTAACATCTACGACACTTTACGGCCCCGCCCACTTTTGGGGGAAACCAACGCTGTCATTTGAATGACGATCAAGCCTGAAGCCACAGAGGTCCTCTTTTACTGTCCTTTTTTCTTAGAGGAAGTACAGAAACACTGAACTCTGGATTTGTTTTAATGTTTGAGGTGCAATAAACGACACAGCAGCTTTTTGGCATGTTAAAACAATAATTTTACGCCACGCTCATGAGAGTAACAGCCGGCGAAAATTACAGCCTCGCCTACTGATTTTAATTTAACCATATATCGAGCCCGATTGTCGATTTCAAATGATTTAATGTAATTGTTTGCCTGTCTGGCCATCGTAATCGGGCTCTTTGAAGATCCAAAAATCCACGGTTTTTCTTAAATGTCTGATCGGATTGGCAAAAACTTCAGAATTTGTATTGACCGCCATTCAAATGACAGGTTGTTTTCCCCCAAAAGTGGGCGGGGCCGTAATTTTCGCCCAGAAGTGACGTAGGTGTTACACTCATCTATAGCAAAAAGGAAATGTTCAGCATGACAAATACTGTTGTTTACTTTTCAGACTCCCAACACATTTGCTGTGTGCACAAAACACAGAGGAATCCTCCTGCAGGCCAACAACGAGAAAGACATGAACGACTGGCTGTACGCTTTTAACCCCCTGCTGGCAGGAACGATAAGGTATGCACAGACACTTCTCTTACTCTTCCCTTAGCAGGAAGCTTTGTTGCCATCTTGTCACAACACTCAACTCTGTTCCCACAGATCTAAGCTGGCGAGGAGGCGCGGCGGCCCGATTAAGAACTGAGTGGGCCGAGCGGCACGCAGAAAAACAACGGCTTCCTCTCTTTCTGGAAAGCCTTTTGAACAAACCGAGTGTTAACACTTATTAATCATTGTGATTCTTGACAGTTTTCTCTTGTAAGTGGACTTGTGGCTTGAGTCTCCTTTCATGCAACTAAAAGTTTCAGTTCCAGATCAATTTGCCTCCCCCGCTCCCTTCCACATCCCTATGCCAACTTAGCCTTCCTCCTCTCTATTTCTCTCCCCCTGCTCCTCCGCTTTTTGTGTTTTTGTTTTTATAACAAAGTTTGGGTCTAATTTGATTTGCTTTGTTGTCACTCCCTAACTCCCTAACTAGTAGCATGTTGTAATAGTCTACTTGTGTGTGCACGATTCTACAGAAACGGTTCTTTCTGGACACTAATTTTCAGTTTGCCAATCATCTGTAAAGAAATTGTCTATATCAGTGTTATCTGTCTCCACAGAAGAGTTTAACTATTTTTTTTTATTAATATGCCCGCATGATAACTGCAGCAGTCCTCAGGAGAAAACCAGTTTTGCTTTCCTAAAATAAATGTAAATCTGATAACTTAAAGTTTAAACCGTGAAAGGAAAATATACAAATATCTCCTAAAGTGACGTATCAGTTCATGTTCTGCTACAGAAGGCAAGGCTACTTCAAGATCTATTGCTGCTAATGAATTCATAGGTTTTTCTTCTCTTAATGAGATTTGCAATAGGATGCCCCTGTAGCTCCCCTCTGCCGTCTACTAAACAACCTTTAGAAGCAAAATGTCTGAAAATTGTGTCTCAGCAAGACCAGGCAGCGCTGGGTTCCTACTGTCATCCATGTAATATATAGACCCCGCCCAGTCCGTACACATTCATCATCGACAACCCCTATAGTGCCGTCAGCCAGTGATTTCTTACAATCATGCAATGTGTCAACATCGAAAATACACGCTAACATGCAAACATGTGTAAAGAACATTTCATATCTCAGCAGTGAAAATGTGACCATGGATTGTTCCTGCTAGGAGTAAATATTTGTCCCTGTCCTTTTGCTATTTCATCTCAAGAAACAGGTTTTGTAGAGGAGGAGGAGGAAGACGGACAGTACTCTAAAGTGAGAATATGATTTGTACATAACGTCTGTACTGGAATCAGTGTGGTAGTTAACTCAAATGTAAGACATTCCTCTAGGCTCCTCTTTCCTTACACTAGGATGTTGAGAGTATTTAGTTAACCATGCCGTACTGTACTTGTGATACCGAAGACAAAACAACACCTGGGGAAAAGCGAGTAAGAAAGAGAATAAAGTTGCAATGCTCTAGCCTTGAAGCCAGAAGATAAGTGATGAAGCTGCTAGCTCATAGCCTGCAGGACAGATAGTGAAAGGTCCCATGACTCCCCTCACTGTCATGATAGTGAAGTACTTACTGTTCATCAGCACCACAGGTTACCACGTGTTCATTTTCTATTTGTGTTCTTGAATTTAAACTCATCTAACTCATTGGGTTGACATTTCTTTCCTTTTTTTAAATTATTAACATTGGTTTTTTTTCTAATGCTTTTAACCATTCCACAGTGAAGTTTTATACGAGATGTAACAGAGGGCATTGATTTCTTGAGTTGTAACCAGCTTTACTTGTGTTTAACCTTATTTTGCACATTAACACATATCTATAGCAAGACAAGGGCAGATCACACATGTTGAGTCCAAGATTATTTCTGAGTATCAGGAACACTGATTAGAGCACATATCGAGGCTACACTGGATAGCTATTTATGAGAAAGAAAGAAGTGATATTTAAAGGGACGACATATACACAAATGTTTTATTTCTGATATTGTTTGTGGAAATATTTGCTCTGTACAAAACAGCTGCTACAATTGGCTCAAAAATAAAGGGTGCCTCTGTCTCTTCAAGTGTGATACAGCAGGGCAATAAAAACTCTGGCCAACCAACCAGTAGTAGCCCAGTGTATATTATGTAAAGACAATAGGGTTGAGTGGGATGAAACAGAGGTAGTCATCGCCTGTTACAAGTATCAGTGGAATTATTAGGTACGTGTCTTCGATGTTTTCTAAAGTATAGAAAACATTTGCCTCAGAAGTCAAAATGAGTGACCATTTCAGAGCGTCACTGCCCTCAGGTCGGCCAACCTGCCAGTCAGAGAAACAAAAAACTTTTGAAATTAGAAAAGAAAAATGGTCTGTCTAGAAAAATAATAATGAACAACCATCTATGCACTGATCAGGCTCTAAGTGCAACACATTAACCTCAGCGTACTGTGGGAGATATCAACATGAAGACCTGTCAGAGCAAACATTTTCACTTTGCTGACTATTTTGCAGAGGTGTATTATTTTGGATTGTGTATTTATTGTTTGCAATGTAAATATTAGTTTGCAGCTCTTTGCACATATTAATAAAAGGTTCAACTAACTGATCAAATAAAGACTGTGCGGTTTAGTTGTTCTACTGAGTGAACCAAATGACGGTGGGGCAGCCTCTTCTGGTCTGAACTGGGAGAGCGTTGAATGTACTATGAAGTGTTTTTCCAGCGTTTGAAAAAAGAAAAAAAAAAAAAGATGAAAAGAGAACTAATATGTTTCTCACTGCCTCTTTTTCAGAGGAGGTGAGTTACATTAGTGCTTCCTCTTTATGAGAAAGTGGTTTGATTGAAAGTTTGCGTTGGACTTTAAGCATATTTACTCCAGCCACTTGAATTATAACAAAACAAGAGTGGTTTTAACTCCTTTTATTTTTTTCTAATATCAGGGAATATAATACAAAGTAGCTCGTGACATCTTAAAAGACAGTTTAGTAATGTTGTGCTGGTGTCTTTCTTCACAACACTGTTTTTTTCTTTTCTTCCGTTGATGCCTTGCAAAACAAAACTACCCATGATATTCTCCATCTCCCCTCCTGACATTATAATATTAGTTTACTGCGTTCCCTCTGGATTAGTTCATAAAAGAAAACGACAAACCACGACATTAACACTGTACATTATTTGTTAGACTGGTTTCATTTTCATACTTATTTTGTAAATATCCGTGTTGTATGGAGCTTGAATTAAAATGTAAATATGTTTACTGTATTTGTAATAATTATAATCCATTCGCTGTATAGCATAGATGTGTCATGCAGATATCCTAATTCTGTGTATGGTAATCTTGCACCATTGAACTGTTTAGTGAATGAGGCAACAATAAAAGTGCAAACTGTGCATTAGCAGAACAAGTGCTGTGTGTTTGTCTTATCCTTTATGCAGGTTGACTCCCATCTGTTTGTTTTTTACATGGTACACATTCCTCATACATGTGTGCTTTAAAAGCATCTTTATCAGAAACAAAAATGTGGTTTGTCATAGTAACTTTTATTTATGTAGTATGTTTTTGTTTTAGCATCTTATTTCTTATTTTGGACAAAATCAATCATGTCTCTTAATTATTAGTTAGTAACCTGTGCGTTTGTGGCAACATCTTAAAATGAATTGCCTCTAATTCTGAAAGGGAGACATTACCCCTGATTGTAGGTGAAAATAAATATTGTACCCTGTTGACTGCAATACGTGCCAGAGCAAAACAGACACAACTATAGGAAATAGACAATGACATTTATAGTTAGTTGTTTCAATATTCAATTTACCACCATATCTCCCTTAAGTTATTTTTAGATTGAGGAAATTAACAATGTAATTGTACCAACACAAGCTTAATATCATGATTATTATTTAATTGCATTTACTATTTTCTTTATCGTTTTTTTTACAACTAGTATTGTTACTCATTGTTACTTTTGATGCTTTGGCAACTCAAGTCAAACGTCATGTCAATAAAGCCTATTCTATTTTTTGGAAGGTAAATGTACCTCAGCAATGTAGTACAAGTATAAGTACACGTTAAGTACGGCACTTAATTACATAACTGACATTAGCTTGATTTGGACACACACATCTGTGTTGCTGTCCCGATAGCTACACAGCTTTTGTTAAATATATACGGCTCTCCAACCATGGATGCATTAACTCTAAAGAGGTTGTGCTCTGACGTATTATGTGTTACGCTAGGGCCAATAGGAGAACGAATATCTCTGCTCAGGATTTTGGACCAATGACAATTCGCAAAAACATCACTTCAGTTTGCTGGCCGTATTCTGATTGGTGAATACTGTGAGAAGGCGTACGTGAGCTTGCCCCATAAGAACGGCTTGCCCTCGCCGTTGTCACGTTGAGGAAGTAAAACGAGCGAGCAGGAGATATATGAAGTGAAGAGGAGCCTGACAGTCATTTGACCAGTGTTACTTCACGACTTCCTAACCCTCTGAAAACCATGGCTCAGTAAGTTCTCAGACTAGTTTTTACTTATTTAGATAGTCGGTTAATTTTGAAAGGTTGTGGGTGATGCGTGTGTTTGAATCACTGAAGACTGTGTAGTGGTTTCATTTGTTTTTAAATAATCTTCCTGATTAGTTCGCTTGTTGGCTAACCAGTGTTACTGTTGAGTAGACATATATGTAACAAGACTTTCAGCGTGAAAATAACCAAAAAAGCGTTTATGTGTTTGAAAAAAATCGATTTTAAACATGCGGGTTCAACATACATTGTTTCAAAGTCAGATATTATGATGGGAAGCTTTATTAAAGTCGTTGTTGATGCTCAGTCTGTGACCAGACAGACGCCCAGTAAATGTGATTTATTTCTCTTCTCCTCACAGAGCAGACATTGCACTCATTGGTTTGGCTGTCATGGGCCAAAACCTCATCATGAACATGAATGACCATGGCTTTGTGGTAAGATGGTGACTTATGTGTTTAGTCCAAATATATATGGCAGTAAAACTCTTTCTACTTTACTCTTCTTAAGTTCACTCAGTGATCACCAAGCCTTTCCTCCAACAGGTCTGCGCCTACAACCGAACTGTGTCCAAGGTGCACGACTTCCTGAAAAATGAGGCGAAGGGCTCCAAGGTGATTGGAGCTGAGTCTCTGGAGGACATGGTGTCCAAGCTGAAGAAGCCCAGGAGGATCGTCCTGCTGGTTAAGGCTGGACAGGCTGTGGACGACTTCATTGACAAACTGGTTGGTATAGTTTCTGTGCATGAATCCCTTAAGAAAAAACGATCCTTAACTGGTTACTTCAACTCGCTTTGTTGTTCTTCAGGTTCCTCTTCTAGAGTCCGGGGATATCATCATTGATGGTGGCAACTCTGAATACAGAGACACGACAGTAAGTTGCACAGAATCACTGTCGAGCAGTACATTGTTTTCTCTCTTTGGATTTTCTCATTATGTTCGTTTATTTCTGTCGTACAGCGGCGGTGTCAGAGTATGAAGGCAAAGGGCTTGCTGTTTGTTGGCAGTGGAGTCAGTGGTGGAGAGGAGGGGGCACGCTATGGACCCTCACTGATGCCAGGAGGACATGAAGAGGCCTGGTAAGACAGCATAAACTTCTTAACTGCTCTAACTTTCACTTCACGCTACATGTTGGACAAAAGGCACAGACGTGGTTAGGAAAAAAAGGAAACAATTAAATCACTTTCTGCTGCTTTATTTTGAAGGCCACACATAAAAGACATCTTCCAGAGCATCGCTGCCAAGGTGGGAACAGGAGAGCCTTGTTGTGACTGGGTGAGTTTTAAAAAAATATTTTCTAAGTTGTACCAGTTGTTTTTGTGTCGTCTCACAAACTAAATCTGACTGGCTTGCTTGTACAGGTTGGAGATGAGGGTGCAGGTCATTTTGTGAAAATGGTCCATAATGGCATTGAGTATGGAGACATGCAGCTGATTTGTGAGGCCTACCACCTGATGAAGGATGTCCTGGGAATGGACCACGATGAGATGGCACAGGTTAGCTACACTATCTATTCTTTATTAGTAATTCATGCTTCCTGTCAGCTCTTTAAAATCAACTGAAGATGATTTATGTGGCTGACTGTCTCATCGCACGCGATAAATCCCACAGGCTTTCGACAGCTGGAACAAGACAGAGTTGGATTCCTTCCTGATCGAAATCACAGCCAACATCCTGAAATTCCGCGACTCCGACAACACACATCTGTTGCCCAAGATCCGCGACAGTGCCGGACAGAAAGGCACGGGGAAGTGGACGGCCATTTCAGCCCTGGAGTACGGCACACCTGTGACTCTGATCGGTAAGAAAAAGAAAGGAGGTTGTAGACAAGGAAGTATCTGGTTTCCTTCTCTTCTTCCAATGCTGGCAACTTCCAGTAAGCTTGGTTTGTCATAAAATGACAAAGGACATTATGTCACAAATGAGCATTGAAAATACAGTTGACCTCTTTGTGCACCTGCATCATTGAACAACATTTAAAGCTTTCACCCAAATTGCTCTTTACCGTTTTTGTTATACTTCCAGTTGTTGTAATTGATTAATTTGTCCTAAGTGTAAATTGCTTAATGTGAATTAAGTTAATTGTGAATGTATTATGTTTCTTCTGTGTTCCTTAGTGCCTAGGAATTTTTTGGTTTTTATTATATTGTAAATGTTGTCACATTGTATTTTCAACTTTAAAAAAAGGTTGAATACATTCAACACTGCTTCAAAAAATGATAGGCCTAATAATGAGTTGTTTTGGTTGAAGTTTAGCATGGCCTGTGATCTTCTTTAAGAGGACGTGATATGTGGCTGCCACTAAGAAGATTGAAGGCTTTCCTAGAGGGCTGCGCATCTTAAGTGACATACGGGGGATTTCTTCCTCAGCTTTGCTCTTTGTTCTGAACGTCTCTGTTTTATAAACAGCAATGGACAAAAGGTGTCATAATTGTATGTCCTGTGCGTCTAAACAGATACTTGTAATGCCTAGTGTAACTTAAAAGGACATGCATGATACACTTTTAGTCAAAGTTCAATCATGCAGAAACGTGCCTGTCACCAAATCCCTGCAACCACTAGATTTCTTTTTTAAATATTTGCTCAATCCCTCGCAGTGCTGTATATAAAGAGAGATCGCGGCATTACAAAGGGCTTCATTGTGTGAGAGCTGATCCAGTGTTTGTGGAGCAGGCTGACAGGCCGGTGCAGTGTGCAGTGTACTTTCCTCACCAGAACAGTTCCCTCTCTGGACATTTTCTCTCTGTCCCTCTGCCCCTTGGTCTGAGGATTGCCTCACCTGGCAGAGCTGCTCTTTGGCGAGTCATGCTGATTGACCAGTTGCTTTCCCCTTATCTTGATACAGCGGTGATTATAATTATCCATTGTAATGTCCCCTCTGGCACTGAAGTAGAAGTGGCAAGCCCTGTTTTTTTAAACGGTGTCGTCACTTCTGCTGAGTCACGCTGATCCGCTGAATTGTTTCCATGTCAGCATGATGTGGCTATGGCCTGGGTTAGCCTAACCTGTGACATCATTTGTTGTGTCAGGTGACAGGACTATTAAATAGCTGTTTACCAAGCTGTTATTGTGTGAAGCTCCAATAAAGTGATGTGTTTAGAGAGCTAACTTTGTTGTCCCTCTCTGTGCCTCCTCTCTCCCCCCCTCTCTGTACTTCAGGGGAGGCTGTCTTTGCCAGATGCCTGTCCTCTCTAAAGGATGAGCGAGTGGAGGCCAGCCGCAGCCTCTCAGGGCCACAGGGGGTCAAATTCAGCGGGGACAAGGCTGCCTTCCTGGAGGACATTAGAAAGGTAGAATACACAGTCACACTCAGTTGCCATTTATTAGGAACTAAGCTAAATGTAATTGAATATAAACAGTCTTGAAATAAATTCAGTTTCTATTGAAATTGTTATGGAGAGAATAGATGCTTCTAGTTTACAATTAACATTTTTACCAGAAACATTTTCAAGCGGTCAAGAACTTTCTCTTTTATGAATGCCAAATATTATATATGTAAATGATGATGATAATAATAGATTCAATTTGTATTGCGCCTTTCAAGGGACTCAAGGCCGCTTTACTTGCTGTGAACAAACCAACTAACAAAGAAGTGGGGCAAATAATAAAGTAAAACATTAAATAAATAGCAGGGGGGCTGTGATGGGTTAGGGGTCAAAGGCAGTTTTCGATGATGACTTGAACATTTGTTTTTACAGTGACCAATAATCATTTAAAATAGTAACATTTTGAATCAAAGATTGACGTTTTTGAAAACTAAAACGTTAAATCATCCTTCTCTCTCCAGGCCCTATACGCCTCCAAGATCATCTCCTATGCGCAGGGCTTCATGTTGCTGCGGCAGGCGGCCAAAGAGTTCTGCTGGTCCCTGAACTACGGCGCGATCG